CTTGCGTGCCATTGCCATGACCTGCCGTGGCAGGTGTGCCGGCGCACAATCAAGGAGTACAAACGCCTTGTTTTGACGGAAAACTTTTCAGCACTTCTGCGATCTCTTTGAGGATTTGGGCACTGTTGGCAGCAGAGGTCCAAGCGGACTTTTGCCGCAAAACACGCAAACGAGTTTGTGGCAAAGCGCGCTGGGCGCGCAAGAGCTTCTTCGTGAGTTTCACCTGGGTGCCAATGAGAAAATGAGGAAACTTCCCTTGGATGTGCTTGCAGTTGCAAATCACGCTGACATAAGTCCACGCACCTCGAACATGTTGCTTCAGCACCTGTGCATGCGGCTGTTTGCCACCTGCTGTCCGTGGCTTTGCCACACATCCAATAGGCGGTGTCATGGTGTCAGATTTATAAAAAGCAGCTCCCTGTCTGCGAACCTGCTGTGGCAATAGCAGATGGTCCGCCAAAATGTCATGACCTGCTCGAGCGTTGCAGGAAGTGAAAGACAAAGCCTTATTATATATAGGGTCCCCAAATATAATTCCGAGGGAAGAAATTGATTGAAAATGGGGGCCTATTTTTGGTGCCAGATTCTGGCCCCAAAAATGGGACCGCCCAACCGGGATTAAGTAGGCTTATACAGGCATGAAACATGATGGGGACCCATTTTTGGGGCCACATTCCGGCCCCAAAAATGGAGCCACCCAACCCAAAAAAGAAGACAAAATGTTGTAAGTTGGCTGGCCCGCGCCTTGTCGCGCAGTACAGCGGGGTCTCTGCTAACAACTTGCTTCAGCACCTTCCGGCGGACGCCCCGCCGAGCCCGCCAGCGCTGCACCCACTTATTGACCATGCGTTTGTTTGGCACACCCATGTCCAGCTTCTGGCCATGGAAGGCCTCCTCCCACTTCAAAAACGTGTCCATCGCAGAAGGTGCTTGACAATGATTCGTATTGCACTCATAGACCCACTGCTCCGTGGCTGCTTCGGCCAGGAAGGCTTGCGCTTTGCGTGAAGCTGTGTCATCCAAAGCGGTCAAATCTGGCAGCGGCGTTGTCAGCAACATCTCTTGGATCAACGCTGCCGTGGGTACCCATTGCTGCCATGGGATATCGTTGTCAAAGCACAAGCCATGCGGAGAGTCAAATCCATGTTAAAATTCGACAGCATGTAAACAGCTACCACAGTTTTGCGGGCTGCCACTCCAAGGCCGGCACAGTGCAACCTTTTCCGGCATTCTGCCGATAAGCCGCTTTCAGTGCTTTGCCATTCTGCACCAAGGCAGTCTGACACCCTGGCATCAGATGTGCCTTCGGCCACACCACAGGGCGGCTGCATGACTGACCGCAGAAAAACTATCTGTCGGCAGACTCATTGAAAACATTCGTGTCATGTCAAACCAATGCTGTCTGATACAGCTGAATTCGAATGGAAGCAGGGAAGATGACCTAATGAGTGCGGCCAAAGCATGGCCTCGGCATTTCAAAGCATACAAATTCATGTCTGGCTCATGCAAAAAACAAAAACTATATTGCTGTTGCATGCAGTCAGCGCGGCAAGACTTGATTCATATGGCTGCGTCCAGGAAAAACATCGAGGAGAGGCGACCTGTGAGGAGCAGGCAAGACCGAACAATGATGATGAGCCGTCCAATCATGTGGGTTTGTGTTATGACACTGTTATGGAAAAACACTGCTGGTTCTCTCTCCACATCATGCAGGTTTGTGTTGTCACAAGGAGGGCCCTCAATGAAGAGGGCTGAAATCAGCGTCCGTTAGCGACCCCAAATTCAGACCTTTTGCACACACAGCACGAGGCCCCACGTATAGGGTCACAGCAGCGGCTCCCCCCCCGCACCCCCAGGATCAATGTTGTTTCCTGGTGTTAATCACTGCAGCAGCCAGCTTCCAAAGCGTCAGGTCTTCACAGCAAGACATTTTCGTCAACCTTGATTCCGGGGGGGGCAGGGGGGGGCCAACATGTGGCCGGAAAGGCCCTTTGAATTAGGAAGAAACACATGTGCCGTCACGGCAGGTGGCACATCACAGCTGCAAGATGAAATGCTTCACTGGCCGTTGGCGATGTCAATCTTTGCATTGGCTCCACTGCAACACTAGCATGCTTCGGTGTGAAACTACTAAGCACGATGTCACAACTTTATATTGGCTCTGCCGCAAAACTACTATGCTTCTGTGTGAAAACTACTAAGGGGAATTTCAAACTTTGTATTGGCTCGGTGGCAAAACTACTAAGGAATTGTTCAATGGACAAAAAAGGAAACACTTTCTTCTATTTCTTTTCAATTGGCAGAATTCCTTAGTAGTTTTGCGTCCAAGCCATTGTGATTTCAATTTCACGGGTTAGTAGTTTTTCATGCGTGCATGAGCTGGGACTCTGCCGTGCCAATGCAAAGTCTGCGAAAATGGTTGGAAGTATCCTTAGTAGTTTTTTGGGGCCACAGCAAAAACAGGTGCCAAAGCACGCAAAAACGTGTTTTTGATGCCTTGGGAGACAGCAGTCGTTAGGTAACCTGCCGCGTGTGACTTCACCACATTCCTGTCTGACTCCTTTAGAGACAGCAGTCTCAAGTGCTTCAGTGAGACATATAGTTTTGAGGAAGCTGCTGCTGACTCCTCGGGAGACAGCAGTCACAAGTGCAGACATATAGTTTTGAAGAAGCTGCTACTGCTGAGCCACGAGAGGTCTTGGGTGCTCAGTTTGCCCGCCGATTTCAGGACTCTGCGTCGTTTTTTCTCCTGGCGCAGAGCTGAAACAAAAAGATTGAAAGTACAAGTGGTGCGATGCAGGTGCAATGCAGCTTCACCAAAAAAAACCTGAGATGGGAAAGATGAAGGTGCAAGTGGCACGATGGAATGTCAATACAGCTTCACCAACACAAACATGGCACACAAGGATGAAATTGAACCAGCCTGGGCCTTGACTTCTCGACTGGTTTGCTGCAGCTGGCGTTTCAAGGCCTGCCTTTCAGCTTTCAAAGCAGCTATACGGTCATCCATCCCGGGCACATGGGCTACAGCAGCACCTTCCGCAGCATCCCTTTCCATACCAGCGGCGGCAGACGACATGGCTATAGATATAGTCAAATTGTGTTTTCTGCGACGAGCTGTGAGCCGTGCTAGCTGCAGAAGCCATGCCGTCTGGACAGCTTCCATGCCAATTTTCTCAAACTGCACAACTGGAAGATAGTGTGACAAAACATGGCCGGTGGGGGCCCAAAACTGGGGGCTTGAAAAGTGATGCCAAAGGGACTCCCGTACCATGTACCCCCATAGTATATAAATATGATAAATCACACCTCCTGATGTAGTTTGTCATCCCCATGTTTGTCACCATTATATTATATTATTACTATTATTTTTATTGTTATCATATATATATATTTATTACCATATATACTTATATATATATCTGCAATCTGGGCCCCCGCAGTTATAAGTTATAAGTCTCATAAACCAGGCTTCTTGGAGTTACCAACTTAGCTATCCTTTGGGGGTCCCACTTTGGTTGTATCCCTCCCCTGGAGATATCTCTTTTTTTTGGGGTTATTACGGGGGGGATGTTCTGTTACATTTACCATTTTGATTAGAGTAAATTTGAGTAAATGTTCTATTACAATTAATATGATTGGATGTTATATTTCCATTTTGATTGGATGGTCGGACATTATAGAACATCAATAATCATTACAGAAATATGTTATTTCCATATATATATATATATATATCCATTTTTATTGTTGGATGTTCTATGTCCATTTACATGATTACCTCTGTTTTGTCATTCCAAACGGAGGAGTTTCGAGCTGTTCAGCGCGCGGTGCACCTGGAGACTGAAGCCGAGCGTTGAGCGGAAACAGCACCAATAAGTGACGATCGGACAGAAAGAATTCTGTTGATGACATACATTAAACTCATGAAACAAAAAATGGTGGTTTGACATGGTTCAACCAATAAGCAACCATGGTGATTTTTCATGTGTTTTTTTTTGTGGATATAATGGAATTATACAATGGGATTATATCATGGGAATGTACCCTCCGGAAAAATACACATAGCCATGGAAAGTCCATTGAGTTTGATGATTTCCCTAGATTTACCTATTGAAAGTGGTGATGTTCCATAGCTCAATCCACGAGCATCCTAAGGATGAACATATCTTGGAGAATTATGGAGAAATGCAAATCCTGTGGCCAAGGTGGCTCTTCGTTCAACGGGCCTTCAGATTTCACGACCGTAACGCTGACTCGCAGAAAAGACTACCACCCATACGCTCGCTCAGGTCTCAGAAAACGGAAAAAGTTCGACCCACTTGCAAGTTTTGGCTCTATCTCTTGGAGATATCGAGACATTGCAACCTCTTGGGTCCTTTTCAACTACGGGGACTCTCTCACCCTGAAAACGTGGAGAGTTTCTGGCACGTCGCAAGCACATTGAGGTTTTGCAATGCCTTGCTTTCAAATTCACACTATATATACTTGTGACACTGAAGTGCTGGAAAGCAATGGCAAAAGCTTGCAGTGCTTTTTTGCAAGTCCTTCGCTAAAAGCTGTTTTTTATTCGCAAACTTCAGATTTTTGTTCTTTATCACAAACTTCAGAGTCATGCAGTCATCTTTCAACGTCCTGGAGGCAAGTACCTATTACTGTACTAACTATGACAAGAAGAGAAATCGTGGCCAGACCAAACGAACAGTCGGGCACAGCTAAACTGCCTCGCTCTGAAGCATGTAGGTGCCTCACAAATGTTGCTTGCAGAAAGGGAAGTTGCACCTGTAGTGTTCTAGACCAAGCCATAAATCATGACAAATCGCGGTTTGATATGATTTGGGTTTGCCTTACTTTCCCATAATTTGACTATTAATCATCATTTTCCGCTTGAGGTACAGTGCGTCCCTATTTTCAGACAGACCCACTTGTGTTTCCCCCCAAATGCGGGAAACATCCTGATCATCGACCAAGGTTGCATCAAACATGTGCCGGGAGGGAACCAACATGGCATGCTGATCATCATTCTGCAACAACGAACCTGTCATCAGTCTTTCACATCTATGCAAAGTCCAAACCTGCAATCTGCTACATCAATTTGTGCTTGAATGATACCCTCTGGTGAACTAACATAGCCATGGAAAATCACCATTTTCAATGGGTAAATCCACTATTAATGGTCATTTTCAATAGCTATGTTAGTTCACCAGAGGGTAACACTTCACAAAGCCCAAAACAACAACCTCAACATCTTCCCTGAATGCCCCAAAAATATCTGGTTGGGAAGCATCGCCAAGACACCGAGGATCACCACCAAGGTCGCGGTCAGTGGTGCAACAAAGGGGCATCCATCTGGGGACGCTGGTGAACTCGTTATTTTTTACGAAAAAGGTGTACTTCACAAGTTTTTTCGGGGGATGAAAACAAGGCGACTAATAGGTTTTGACCCATAGATAAGAGAAGATCACTGATGTTGGATGCAATAGTGTTGCACACAAAGAGTTGACTTTATCTGAAAAGGACACAGGGATGTGTGTGTATATGTCATGTATAAGCATCCTGAAGTAAGTAGATAGAATATAGGATAGAATATGGAATTCGCAAGAATATGAGATGTCGGTTAAGTTTTTGTGAAATGTCTATATTCTATTTACTTCAGGATGACCGTATTTATATAGTTTATATCATGTCATGACCGGTTTTCGCTGTTTTAACGTGTTTTTTTTGACATGATTGGGATCAAGATCATGAAGGCCACACTATATGCCCAACCCCTGGGTCACCGGTTAGCTGGATTTTTAGCACTGGAAAAACTGGAGCACCCTTTGGACGAAACCATTAATATCCCAACTTTGTTTGATAAGATGTATCTACGTACTGTATCTGATGCGGGTATGTATGCATGCATGTATAATATATATATATTATTATTATCATTATTATTATTATCATTGTCATTATCATTATTATTATTATCATTATTATTATTATCATTGTCATTATCATTATTATTATCATTATTATCATCATTATTATTATCATTATCATTATTATCATTATTATTATTATCATTATCATTATCATTATTATTATCATTATTATTATTATCATTATTATCATTATCATTATCATTATTATTATTATCATTATCATTATTATTATCATTATTATTATTATCATTATTATTATTATCATTATCATTATTATTATCATTATTATTATTATCATTAATATTATTATCATTATCATTATCATTATTAACATTATTATTATTATCATTATTATTATTATCATTGTCATTATCATTATTATTATCATTATTATTATCATTATTATTATCATTATCATTATTATCATTATTATTATTATCATTATCATTATTATTATTATCATTATCATTATCATTATTATTATCACTATTATTATTATCATTATTATTATCATTATCATTATCATTATTATTATTATCATTAATATTATCATTATCATTATCATCCTTATTTTTATTATTATTATCATTATTATTATTATCATTATCATTATCATTATTACTATTATTATCATTATCATTATCATCATTATTATTATTATCATTATTATTATTATCATTATCATTATTATTATTATCATTATCATTATTATTATTATCATTATCATTATCATTATTATTATCATTATCATTATTATTATTTATTATGGATATATGATATATGTGTTTATTTGTGTTGGGGTACCCCAAAATTTGCTGGCAGATGATCACTTTCCACATATCGCGCAACTTTCGGATCGCTCGAGGCACAACTTTTCAGTCTGCAGAGCTTCATGATGCGACCCAGGCGAGCGAAACGCTCCAGCAGAAGTGTTCGCAACACCTGGGGTCACCGCAAAGTGGTACCTCTTTTGAGTCTAAAAATATGGGGAATCTACAGCACCTGGCTATTTCAATCGGGGGAATCAGATATCATAAACCAATGGATTCTGGTTTTGGGCCCCCTATTTTCACACCAGAAGCACGGAAAAACTGAGTGACAAGTCATTTTAAGCCGCGCTGAACGCCATTTTTAGCTCATGTAATATTACCAAACAACAATAAATGAATCTTAAATTAGTACCCAAATGATTCAAATAACTAAAAGCCATATTATCAGGCACCAAATTGAAATGTCTGCTGATTCTTATTGCATCAATTGCATTCGAAATATATAGTCTTATTGATCTAAGAATGATATGCCATGAGAACTGCGTGAAGGGATCTTCTCAAAAAAACAAAACGTCCAGCTGAAAGATTCAGATGTTGAAGTGGATTTCTTGAAGTGGTGCAGCAAAACCATATGAAAACCCAATGCATACATACATGACATGACATGACATGACGTTACGTTACGTTACGTTACGTTACGTTGCGTTGCATTACATTACACTACATTACATTACATTACATTACATTACATTACATTACATTACATACATATTATATATAGTATATGTACATCTATATGCAATTGATTATATGAATAATTATAATACATTTATCTATAGTTATTTATATATAATATATGTATCTATGCATTTCAAAGCTAGTTCAAACTGGATATGCCGAAATTCCAAATCAAAGACATCTGACCAGAGCAGTGCTGCGGCTGGGACAAGTTGCTGGCAAATGGAAGACATGATCAAAGTATATCTCTGTCACCGCGATGAAGTCGAGGACATTCATCTGGGCAGTGGTTTAGACATGTTCAAACATGTTCAATTTCACACACACCTGAGGTCCAACAAATATGTCAGAGCATGTCAGAGCCCTGGTGAACTCGCACATGGTGGGAATCACCTGTGGGTTAACTTATGAGCAGTTTATATAGTTTGTTCCAGGTAAGTACCACACCTACTTTTTCGGAACATGGAGGAGGGGCACCACACCTGCGGGTGCATATACCAAGCTAAACCAAGAATCTAGGAGTTTGAGAGCTACCGTCATTCTTGGATACCCATGGTGTGGTGAGCTATGAACGTCACGCCGGTTCTGTCACCCTGCTGCCGTCAAGGCAACGGATCGACCAGCCATGATTCGACCACAACTCACAGCGGTTGATCCAAACTCTCCTTACTGTTAAACTATCCATAGCTATCCAAGATACCGGATCTGAGAAAAACATGAAGCCGGCGATACCTTGGTTTTTCAGCAACTTCCATGGCGTCCACTTTGGAAAGTGCCCAAAAGCTTCCAAGCATATGGTGTGAACAAAATCCGGCCCCATGGCCTTATTCCAAAAAAAAGGGGAAACAGTGTCCGGAGTGCCCTATCTCAGCCTATCTCTATGGTTATTTCAAATTCTTTCAGCCTTTCAGACAGAACAATAGGACCAGATTGAAGTTCTCTCCCCGCAGCCTGGAAGTCAATCTCTACATCGATCGTCCCATGAGTGTGTCATGTATATCATCTAGGTACGAGTATCAACTGGATAACCTGGATATGAATATGTATATATATATATAAATATTATATATATATCTCTCTCTCTGAGTAAATTAAAATATTTCACTAACCTGAATTAAGGCCATTTGGGGATGATTCCCTTATTAACCATGATTCCAGTGAGGTCGCAGTGAGGTCGTTATAATTTACCCAGATTTGTATAATTATATATAATTACTATATATTATATAACATATATATATAATTAATTAATTATAATTATATATATATATACATCAGTCAAACGATCCATGAACTGTGGAACACCTCCCATCACCATAGCACTCGGAGTGATGCTGTTGCTTAAGACAATGCCCAATTTGAATATGGCTAGTGGGTGTTCAACGCACCTATCCCCAACGTGTTCACCTACGATAATCATCCCATTCTTCAGAAACGGAAATGCAAATCATCAAAAACATCATGGTCCCCACATGTCCCCACCAAAAATCAGACAAAATAGCCCTATCCCTTCACTATCCCTTCATCCTCTCACCAAGATACAAGGAGCCTTTGGACTCATGGCCATATGTGCTAGGAGTCGCAACAGCAGTTCCAGAGTGAAAACCACCGCGAAGAAAATGTCAAAGCCTGGGGATATCTCGGGGGTCGCGATTTCGAAAACGGGCTGGGTTTCAGATGTGTTTTCAAATTTTCAAACACTCAGTTTTTCCCGAATGCGTAGCGAAGGGTTCCCGTTTATAGTCTGGGGGTCCGGGGGTCTGGGGGCTGGACCCTTGTTCGCCTCAAGTGGCTCGTCGGGTCGCCGTCGCGTCGTCGCCGGGTCGGCGTGGCGTCGTTAATTCCGTGTCTATGGGGAAAGCTGCAAAACCTCTCCTTTTCGAAGGTTTCCAAGCAGGTTGTCATACTTTGTGACATGCCAACCTGTTTGATAACGCGTCGAAAGTGTCAAAATTGGAGGAATTCTCGGACGAAATGCTCGTTTTGCTGCGCCCACGTGTCTCGTCTCGAGTCTCTAATTTTCCTGTGACGTCGCCGTGTCTATGGGGAAGCTGCAAAACCTTCCAACCTGTTTGATAACGTGTCAAAAGTTTCAAAATGTGTCAAAATTGGAGAATTCTCGCAAGAAATGCTCGTTTTGCTGCGCTCACGTGTCTCGTCTCGAGTCTCTAGTTTTCCTGTGGCGTCGCCGTGTCTATGGGGGAAGCTGCAAAACCTCTCCTTTTCGAAGGTTTCCAAGCAGGTTGTCATGTCGTTTTGCGTGCCAGGCGTGGCACTTTGTGCCATTCCAACCTGTTTTATACTGTGTCGAAATTTCTTTTGTCTGGCTGGCTTTACACTTTACACTCCACACTCTACACTCCACACTTTACACTTTACACTCCACACTCCACACTCTACACTTTACACTCTACACTTTACACTCTACACTTTACACTCTACACTCTACACTCCACACTTTACATTTTACGCTCCACACTCCACACTTTACACTTTACACTCCTCACTCCACACTCCACACTCCATACTCCACACTCTACACTTTACACTCTACACTTTACACTCTACACTCACTACACATCACGCTTTACATTTTACGCTCCACGCTCCACACTTTACACTTTACACTCCTCACTCCACACTCTACACTTTACACTCCACGCTTTACACTTTACACTTTGCACTTCACACTCCTCACTCCACACTTTACACTCCACACTCCACACATTACACTCCACACATTACACTCCACACTCCTTACTTTACACTCCACACTCCACACTCTACACTTTACACTTTACATTTTTCACTCGTCACTCCACACTTTACATTTTACACTCCTCACTGTCACACGTGCTAAACGCATTGTAGGTGCCAGCCACGTGAACTCGTCACTTTAGATGCGTCAATTTGCGTTTTGTGTAGCAGGCGCATTACTTTTGCAGCTTTTCCAGTCCCTGCGATTGCGTTTTGTTCCTGGATGTCGCTTGCGTCCGCAGTTCGATTGTGTTTTGCACGTGACGGCTGGTAGTCGCATTGTAAGAGCTGTTTCCAAGTGCTCCTGGATGTCACTTGCGTTAGTTATATCGTGTTTTGCAAGTGCTCGTCGTCAATCCCACTGTAATTGCAACGCGAATGGAGTTCACGTGTCACTTTTTCTCCTTTTGACGGCTTTCATATTCTGTTTTGAATTTGACGGCTGCGCTGGTGATTTCGTTGTGTTGCGCTGGTGATTTCGTTGTGATTTCATTGCGCTGGTGATGTTGTTGTGCTGGTGATGTTGTTGTGCTGCTGGTGGTGATCTCGTTGTGCTGGTGATGTTGTTGTGCTGGTGATTTCGTTGTGCTGGTGATTTCGTTTGTGCCGGTGGTTTTGTTGCGCTGGTGCTGTTCGCTGGTGATTTCGTTGTGCTGGTGATTTCGTTGCGCTGGTGATGTTGTTGTGCTGGTGATGCTGTTGTGCTGGTGATTTCGTTGTACTGGTGATTTCGTTGTGCTGGTGATTTTGTTGCGCTGCATGGTGATGTTCGCTGGTGCTTTCGTTGTGCTGGTGATTCTGTTTTGCTGGTGATTTCGTTGCGCTGGTGATGTTGTTGTGCTGGTGATTTCATTGCGCTGGTGATTTTGTTGTGCTGGTGATTTTGTTTTGCTAGTGATTTCGTTTGCGCTGGTGATTTTGTCTGCGACGGTGATGTTGTTTGGGCTAGTGATTTGTTTGGTGGTGACTTCGTTGCGCTGGTGATGTTGTTGTGTTGGTGATTTTGTTGCGCTGGTGATGTTGTTGTGCTGGTGATTTCATTGCGCTGGTGATTTTGTTGTGCTGGTGATTCTGTTTTGCTGGTGATTTCGTTTGCGCTGGTGATTTTGTCTGCGCTGGTGATGTTGTTTGGGCTAGTGATTTGTTTGGTGGTGATTTCGTTGCGCTGGTGATGTTGTTGTGTTGGTGATTTTGTTGCGCTGGTGATGTTGTTTGCGTTGGCAACTATGTTTGAGCAGGTGATTTTGTTGTGGTCTTGACTCTGTTGCGTTGGTGATTGCGTTGTGTTGGGCTGGTGATTTTGTTGCGCTGGCGTTTTTTTGTCTTTTTGTGTCTTTGAAGGGGGAGTGTCTGCCAAGAGTGTCTTCGAAGAGTGTCTTGCAGGAGTGTCGGCCAATAGTGTCTCACAAGAGTTTTTTCCAAGAGTGTCTTCAAGGAGTGTTTCCAAGAGTGTCGTCGCCATACTGTCTTCAAGCGATGTTTTCCATGCGTGTCTTTGTGAGTTAGTTGTCTCTTTGTGAACTGTTGATCAGGTGCCTTCGCTGAGACGATATGAGCGCACGATGCATGAAAAAAAATGTTCGTTTTCCTATTGCAGAGGTTTTCACTCGTAGTCCAAGAACGTGAATACATTCGGGTGCGTGGCTTCCATCTTGTTTGAGGGTCTGTGTGGTTCTAGATGGTTTATATATGTATATTGTATATATATATATAAGTACAATTTTAAGACTAAGATGCTGTTGGCAAAGAACATACGACATAGATATGTGTTATTCACCCCGCTTCGCGTGGGGTGGCCGCCCACACCGCAGGTTTATTTCGGTCCGTGACAAGGGGCTAAGGGTGGTTTTCCCCCGTGGGGGCTCCCTCAGCTAAGAATTTTCACTTTCCCCCCCCATAAGGGGCTCCCCAACCAAGCTAGGGATTTCACTTTTCACCCCCCGTGGGGGCTCCCCAAGCTAGGGAATTTTCACTTTTCCCCCCCGTGGGGGCTCCCCAAGCTAGGGAATTTTCACTTTTCCCCCCTGTGGGGGCTCCAAGCTAGGGAATTTTCACTTTTCCCCCCCGTGGGGGCTCCCCAAGCTAGGGAATTTTCACTTTTCCCCCCGTGGGGGCTTCCCAAGCTAGGGAATTTTCACTTTTCCCCGCCGTGACAGCTTCCCAAGCTATGGAATTTTCACTTTTCCCTCCCTTGGAGGCTCTCCAAGCTGCGGAATTTCAAATAGCTAGACAACGACGCCTAGATAGTCCCCCAAATCCCGTGTTCTTTGAATGTGTTTCCATGTTTTTGCAATGGTTTCCTTCAAAGCACGGTACTTTACACTTTTGTCGCCATAAAACCGGTCGAAAACATCATGTTCGACAATGCTTCCAATTCCCTTATCTCCCCAACCGTTGAAAATACCGCTATTTACAGTGTTTTCTTCAATTTTTCCATGTTCCAATGCCGGTAGCCAACTCCAACATATATATATAGAAATCCTTCCAAAACATTGTTTTTGACAGTGTTTTTCCAATGTTTCCAGTCAAACAGACGGTAATTTACACGTTTTTTGCCATAAAGGCAGTAAATCCTTCCAAAACATTGCTTTTGACAGTGTTTTTGTAATGTTTCCAGTCAAGCATACGGTAATTTACACGTTTTTTGCTATAACGTCAGTCCAAAACACTTGTTTTTGCAGTGTTTTCAATGCTCTGGCATCCAAAAACCCTGCAAAATCTTGCTATGTACAATGTTTTTTTCATTTTTGGCCGTTTTTCCATTGCCGGAAAGCTACCAAAATGACCCAAAATTCCATTTCAATACCCTCTTGCGCTCAGACACCCAAAAATCCTCGAAAAATGTCGAAAACACCACCGTATTCTGGTCTCGGTGCGAAACCGTTTTTGGCCCCCCCCCAGCTAAAGCTGATATAGCGACTGCTATATTAACAAATGTCATTGAGCATTTAGTGTTGCTGTTTTGCCCCCCAATAAGCACGCCTTCACCGCCAAAGCGGTGTGGGCGGATTTACAAATGTATATGCATACATACACATCCAACAAGAATAGGATTTTACCAGCACAGAAAGAGCATCTAACCAACAGAACGGGGGGTTAGTAGCTGCCTGCTGGCAGGTCTTGGAACCTTCATAAGCTGGAGAATTCTTGACCAATGACCTGATCTGAGGGAGTTTTTCATGGCTTCCCTAATCTTGACCTAACTTTGACCATATTTTTTCTTGTGAGCTCGTAAACGAGGTTGCCATCAACTCTCAATGAATAGATCTGTCTCAAAACGCGACGTCGTTGTGGTCATTGATTCATACTGTCATACGGTGGATCCAACATCTCCATCCATCCCCTTCGGCCCCGGGCCCAGCCAGATGGCAAACTCCTCGGAACTATACGCCTGGACATGGCGAGGAAAGAGGTGATCACTGAAGCTGGACCGGTGCTGGAACCGGTTTTGACCTACGTATGTTTTCAGTGTTTTGTGAAAGCTATGGGAATAGGGGTGGCTTATTGTTGGGTGTAACACACTGAGACTTGAGACCAGGAGACGGTTTAGGGGGAATTCATTTCTGGATCATGAGGATTTAAGCAACAAGAATTAGGGTTTTTGAAGCAATTCACCGACCATTTTACCGGGGAAAATGATGGGAAACAATGGGAATCAACCGGATGTGATTGTAACAACAATTATCTGGCTGTGTCAAAAGTGAATCATTCACCATCCATTGCAAAGTCACTGGATATCATTGGAAATGTGTCAAACAGAAAAAGAACAATATTGTAGATAGAATAAATACTCGTACAGTACTGTAGTCGTCAGCTGTAGTCTGTTTGGATGCTCACAGGATGCTCACAGTTGCACGACGACTTGGATGGACATCACCCCCGGGGTTGCGCCAGGTTTAAGTTTCAGCAACGTCTCAACCCCCGGACGGAAATTTAAAAACCCTGAACTATCCCAAGCACAAAGCAACAACCACTGGTTGGGGACACCATCGCGAACTAAACCATGTTTCTTCATGATGCTTCGAATCGTCTCATGCTTTCAAGGTGTTTCGTCGGCGTTTGTCGGTTCACACCCCCATAGATGTCGGGTCCATGGCCCCCCACCCACGGGCGGACGTGACGAATCCTGTTGGCTATGTCCAGTGTATATCGTCAATTCACCGAGCTGGAAGAAAAAATATCTTGTGACAATGGCCCCTACGAATTGATTATCATGGATACCATCTGGTAATTGAACATATGGGTTTGTCTGAAAATAGGGGATACCCACAAATAGCAATTTTAATGGGGAACATGGTGATAATCCATTGGAATATGAGATACACTATTTTCAGACAAACCCATATGGGAAATAATCATTATTGATAAATCATATATATAAAATCATCTAGAAATGGGCCATGGCTTCTGCAACTGTGTTTGTCATGGAGGCGATCTATGGTCGCGATGGCCTCTTTGTCGCTGCCCGAAATGATGGGCTCGGCAATGATAACCCCCACCGACAAGACAACAATGCCTGGCGGGGAAAGCTGGGTTGAATGTTGGTTGATGGCGGCTTCAATCCTGGTTTCAAGGAAATTGGTATATACTATTTGGTTATTTAACATAGCCATGGAAAATCCCTTATAAATGGAGGTTTTAATGGGAAAATCATCTACAAATGGGTCATTTTCCATGGCTATGTTAAATAACCAGAGGGTAAATGATTCAGCATGTGGATGGATACCCATTTGACCATTTTTTGGGCGGAGAAGAAGATCCATTCCAGCTGGTATTCACGAAGGTAGCAGGATTTTCATACCCATATGGGCCAAGGAAACAAACACTGATTTTTCTGGGCTCAAAAACCCCTTACAGGAAAAGAATCTGTATCTCTCAAACATCGTGAAAAATCCTGCTTTGGGAGACCGGCACATGGCCCAACCGCTATGCGGATTCAAGCCCCAACTGGCCATGAACGAAGCCTGCCCGGGTCCTGAGGTACCAACCGAACCATTCTCAAAAACACATTGCATAATCATCTTCAGATGAAACTCAATGCCACCATTGGTACTCACTTTGTTGGTTATCGTTGTTCCCAATATTCCTTCTTTCGTAAGTTTCAAGATGTTTCAAGTCGCTGGGTTGCCAAATTTGCCAAAATGTGCCGTAGCCCACCCAGTTTTCGGTGATCCAGGCATGAACAATTTGGACGAAATGGCTTGTTTTCACAAAGATTGGGTTTGTGTGCAAATACGATACCCTTAAAATGTGGTGATTGATCATTACTGTTTCCTTCAAGTAATGAGCTGTACTTCTAAGGGGTCTACTCGCAATTTGTCCAAAATGCACAGACCCCCACATCACCCCCACAATTCCGGAAGCCCGAAGCCCTCGCGGGCAATTCGTGCGTCATGGAACCCATCATGCCATAGACAATGACCGCTGCGCTACAGGAGCTTTCAGGCCTGACCAGGAGACCAGAATCCATCGTCACCACCGATTCGGTCCTTGAAATCCAAAAAATCCACCAAGAGCCTTGGATGTGAACTACCACCCATTGGTGGGTGAGTTTAAACCTATCCCCATTTAGTTTTAGTTGGCTATCAATTTTTGTGGGGGGTTCTAATACATATGTATATATATACATATATATATATATATTCACCATCTTCTGAACTTTAGGATGAGAAGTGAACAAGAAACGAAAATGCAAACCAGCGGTTCAAAATTTATTTACCTTTGAGATAGTGTAAGGTCCAACATGATGCCGAAATACAAAACGCAACACAAGGCCAACCGATTCCACATCTAGCAACATGAGCTGCTGGTTTGATTTATATCATGCAGGAACTAGAAACATGTAAAAACAAACAAATCAGCCCTTTCCCCCAAAATCTAGGCACATCTTTCCAAATCCTCCAGCAATTGAAGAGAACATGTCTGAAGATACACCAATCTTTCCATCTAAGGCCTCCCCCCAAAAAAAATGCTCATGTGGATGTTTCCTAAAATGGGGGTACCCCCAAATCATCCAGTAAAAAAATGATTTTCCCAAATAAAAACCATCCAGCTATTAAGGGGTATCCCCATTTATATCATTTATCGTATCCCCATTAATATCCCATGTTTAATAGGATTTGCCAGTATTTGCCATAAACCATCCACCTATTGGGGTGCCGACCCATGGCACCTCTCGAAATGGTCCACGACCCAGGTGGCCCATCCGGGACTTTGGCTGATGGTGGATTGCGACGTCGAGGCCTCTTCCAGGCCAAAAAAAATCTGCGATATGTGTTTGATCCCATGGAATTTGCCAGGCAAGGGATCAAACACACTTGTGACGACTTAGCACATTCCCATGGGGATCAAACACACATCAAACACATAGTTCAAAAAAAGTCATCTCTTTTGGCGATGACCAAACTCTGACTTCATGTTTTCTCGGCGATGCCGGGAACACGGTGCCATCCTGCCGGTGAGGCCGCCTATCAGGCCTACAGTTCCCAGAGATATTCTAGTGATTGGGGGCTGACCCAAATTTTTAACGGGTGAATACGGGTGATGTGTACCCAAAGTTGTGTCATAAAGACACTGGTTAAGGACAAAAACTTGTATGATGCCCATATTAGATTGATAAACCCTGGCTGACTGGCTGACTGGAGTTTGGGGCAAAGTCCAATATGACCTGATTGCCAAAGTCTTCCGAACTATCACACCCCTGAAAATGATGCCGGAAAGTGTTTCCAGGATGGCAGTTCGATGATGTTTCTCCTTTATATTTGCAGGACCCCTCTTTGGTGGTTGCTAGAAGCTAGCTTGGGGGCAAGCTACCATATAAGCTATGGCTTCTGGCGGCGGTATCAGAGCCTGATCATTTGTATATGTTCCAATATACATGTGGGTTGTCTCACAAAGAAATATCCTCTGGTAAACTAACATAGCTATTGAAAATGGCACATTTATAGTTGATTTACCCATTGAAGTGGTGATTTTCCATAGTTATATTAGTTTACCAAAACCATAAAACCAATGGTTTATCATTGTCCCTTGGGGTATTCACCCTTTTCCAGAACCCATTTATTGTGTGGGAAATCCAATAATGATCCGTAGCAAAATTGACATTGCACCTTATGGATCCTTTTGGGGGTTCAGAAAAAACCCTTCAACAACATGGTGTTTCCGATTCGGCTTATCACATTATGTATATATATATATGTAATATTACAACTGGAAACACCCAAAAAAAATGGGGAAAGGGTGAAAACCTGAGTAAACACATCTTATTGTCTGATGATCATTTGATCATGGCAAGACTAGGTGAAAACGATGGACCAATGAAAATGAGGCCGGTCAGAACTTTGACCGGTAAAGATTGGAGTTTGACAGAAAAGATTGGGTCTTGAGCTGTCTTGACCAGCGAAAGTGAGAGTCAATACTTTGACCAACCACAATTGTGGGGGTTGGAGAGATTAAAAAAAGGTAAGAATTTCGGTAAGAATGGTGGTTTCACCAAAAGATTGAGTTTTGACCGACAGAATCATGGGCTGAACGCTGCTGCAGTAGCCTTGGGAGCATCATCATCATCCACGATGATCCTCTTGGAGCAAGCGTCCTTAATGAGCGACATTGAGGCCTCAGAATCGACATCGTACCATAGCAAAAATGCCGGAAAAAAAGGCTATATGGGCATATATGGGCTATATGTTAAAGGATATTCATGGAATATTGATGGGATTGTAATTATTTGCTACTATATACATATAATACTAGTATCAGTCTTACGAATCATTGTCATTCTTACTCTACTTTCTGGTAATTTAAGAATTTGCTATCGGAAATGAATGAGGATGGCAATTTACTTCGCCGATGACTTACCTATTAAACATGTTGAATTAATTATAGCAAACTGAAAAATTACCGGAAGGTTACAGTATATTGGCATCATGATCATCATTGAATTATCATCTTATATTATGTATATATCATATATGTACTACATGATAAGTATACAATATGGTATATATAGTATATTCTATATGCATAATATATTATATATAATTCATTGACATGCACTTACGACATCAAATGTTGCCCAAATGAACCGGAACCTACACTTAGAACATCAAAAAAGTAATGTTGATGTTCTAAGATGTTCTAAGTGAATACTTAGAACATAACACCATTGGTTTTTCGATACACTTAGAACATCTCAAAAAAAAATATGCCATGTGCAGCCATATTCAGCCCTGTGTTCTAAGTGTGTTCAAAATGTGTTTCTATGCATGGAACCAGGCATTAAATTCTTTACGCATGTGTTGTTCCCGCTGTAAAATGCGAAACAATGCAATAATCTATATATATATATATGGGTGTGTCTGAAAATAGTGTACCCCTTTTTACCCAATGGTTTTGCTGATCATTATCCCTATTTTTTATGGCTAGCTATCATTGGGAAGATTAACCCAACATTTTCAGACAAACCCATATACTAAGATGATGTAAGATGTATTAACATAAGACTGGTCGTGACTCCACCTTAGTTCAGTCTATATTAGGTTGTTGGACATACACCTAGAACATTTCTGTGGTCCCCCTAGGGTGTTCTAACTGTATATGTTTGGGATGTTCGTAATCTGCTGTTCTAAGTGCACACTTAGAACCAGTTTTAAAACATGTTGTTCTAAGTGTATGTTCATTGATATACATATATATATATAGTTATATATATATATATGATATATATATATCATATATATATATCATATAACTAATACAATGCTTTGATATATTGCAATGTACTATTCTAGCCAGAAACTCCTCACACTCCAACGCTTTCCACATTCTATGCCAAAATGGTTAAAAACGTGGAACCGTTGTATGCGCACACCCTGTGGTAAGTGATGACTGCTCTGAAGTGCGTCCGGGAAGCCACAACTCACTATAGTCTACGAAACAGCAATGGTATGCATTGGCCTTTTGGAGTATTTTCCCGCACATGTATGTGGAATACGATGTTTACATGGTAAACGGAGATTCTTTCAGTATGGGGAAACCACTTTTAGAACTATACCAAGTGGATGTATCATATCATATCAGCACTCTGGAATAGATACGGAGCATCTAATACAATATAATCAATAAATGTAATGTGATATATATATACAGTATACTACACATGAATATACCAGAAAAGATTGAACCAATCTTACAATAAATGCTATCATATTGTATAAATAATATGTCGTCTCATGAGTCATATATATATATTATATATGTATAATATGCTATGTATTCAGACTGGGATTCAGCTATTTGCCATAATTGTCTGCATAAGCCGCAGCGTGCGTGCCCTAGGGTAAAACTTTTCTCCAAACATTTTGGGCAAAAACGATCAAACCATTAACTGCTCTTTGACTGGTGTAGATCTGCAGTGGCTGATGAGAATCATATCATCTCATATTATCATTCACAAAAAAATGCAATTTGAGCAGCGTTCAAAAGGTGTGATAAAATGCCTATGTCACATGGGTTGGCTTACGCGCGGGCTTACGCACTACTTACGCGACCACAATTTTGACTCACGCGAGGGTTGGGGTATGAGACAGTCTTAGGCGACACTTACGCGACTTGAATTGCCCAAAATGTGGTTTCCCTAAAAGGAATTGCTTACGCAGCCGCTTAGCACATCTATGACATGTTGACAGGAATGCTTACGCATGGGCTTACGCCATGCATCTATCACCAAAATGCTTACGCCAGCTTACGAAACCCAGGTCTTTGCTTACGCCAAGCAGCCATATGACACAACTCTTGCTAAACAAATGAAGGGATGTTTTGGACCCTGCTCATTTGGGATGGGACTAAAGAGAAACCTAATCATCCATAGGGTTTTGCACGAAAAACATCAGGAACCCCAAACTTTTTGTGTGATTGCTCCCTAAATCTCTAAATATGCCTGATCAAATTAGGTATATATACAGTATACAGTACACATTATATACATATACAGTCATATATGTCATATACATGATTGATTCATGATTGACCAATTTGAACCAAGCACCAGATTCTTCAAGCCGCGGTTTGCATGTCTTCTCCAGGCCTTGTCCGGCCGCACACCTGGCATGCTGGGATGGAAGGACTTCTGGTTTCGCTGCGGATGTGCCAAAACCTATTCTTGGGGGGTGAACACATGTGAATTTACTGCCTATTTTGGGAACAGAAGGGCACCGGCATTTTGACAAATTTCCTTAGAGGAACCAAAGCCAGGGTCGCCCAGCACCCCCGGAAGCGCCTTCCTCCGACATCACACACTTTGGAGGAAGCAAACCTGGGAGCTGAACCCAGCTATGGCATGGGGATGTGTCACAAATCTGTTCAGATGCACCCGGAAAAAAAAAAACAAAGGAAGAGACACACTATGCCACTATGTCCGGACTTTTTTTTTTTGGAATCCTTGATGTTTCGAAATGTCCAACATGTGCTGACATTTCACGGGCGCACCTTTGCCACGTTGCAGGTTGGTGAGGAAAACGGTCAACAGGCTGCAGGTATCCAGGTGCTGGCCCCCGCCTTTCAGGGGAGAGTCGACATGGCAAGAAAAAATAGGGGATGTATAGAAATTATCCTTTTGCTGGGGAGTGATTCTACTTAATCTTATTGGATGAATTTGAATTACCCTCTGGTTATTTAACATAGCCATGGAAAATGGCCCGTAATGGTCCATTTATAGATGGTTTACCTATTAAAAATGGTGATTTTCCATGGCTATGTTAAATAACCAAAGGGTAGATAATGGGGTAGCACTCAACAATGTTTGAAAAGAAAAGACCAATACTGTGGATATTGAGGGTTGCTTTTGGAACAGTAGAGGATTAAAAGTAGGGTACCCCTTGTAGGGAATTTCCCTCTTCTGCACCACAGATGGACTGGCAGTGGTTGATAGCAAGCCATTCATTCTACGAAACGACTCGTTTGTGTGTGTGCATCACTTACATGTGCATGCGGATACGTATGATTCCATGCAATTTCAAAACAATTATAATGTGTATATATATGTATATATATATATGTATGTATATATATGTATATATATATGTATATATATATACATATACACATATATATATAATTAGTGTATATTTCAATTTTATATATAGGCTATAGGACATACATATATCATATGTTTGTAAATATCTACCAAAAAAAACAATTGGCTCACTGTAGAGTCTTGGATGGTTGAGTTTTCCATCTCAATGGGTCCCGTTGGTGAAATCGCAACCAATTCCTGATGGTCAACTCCCAATTTTCCAGTGCTGGTTATCGATCCTTGGATCTTGTTGGATTTCTATTTTCTGATGGTTATCATTGAAACTTACGAAAACTCGTGGCGAAAGGCTGGTTGCTGGTTGTACTGATGTTTCTGATGCTGAAACACTTTTTTTCTTCCACTTATTAATTAATGATAAAATTGATGGTAATTTTTCTGGTCTGTTGATGTTGTTGATGTTAACTCTGCTAATCATTGATGCTTCCTGTTTGATGCTTCCACTGCTTCCACAAAATCCCTCCACATCAGTGGCGTCTTTTACTTTCGGCCTTCTCCTCGGCGAATCCAGTCTGCGGCCCAAATCATCTCCTGGCGTCGGGTCGGTTAAACGCCACGCCCCGATGTTGATCAGCATCTCTTTATGGGGAAAATATGGAAATCATATGGAAATCATATGGTAATATGATATAAGATGATGATAAACTGATAAACCACTGGAAAAAAATAGATATCCCGAAGCCATGGCCCATCTGGTTCGATGATTTAATGTAGTTTTACCTATTTGAACAGGAAGACTTTCCATAGAAAAGGGTTAAATTACCAGATCCGCTCTTGAAAACCAGATCCTTAAACCAAACTCCTGAAATCGAACTTTAGATGGATTGGCTCATCAAATATATGAGTATGTATGTGTATATATATATATATTATGCACAATTATGCATACGTTTGACCACCAAACACAGGGCCTTGCTGCAGAGGATCCACTGCTCAAGTTCGTCAAACAATGATCCACTGCTCAAGTTCGTCAAACAAACATGGACGCAGGGGTGGAGTACATATAGACAAAGATATCTGCTTTTGGGGAAAAAACAACTTAAGTTTGGTGTACCATTTGTCAGCCGATCTTTTTCTACCAACCACCAATGGTTAACTCTAAAAAAAAATGGTATGGCTTATTGCTGTATGAATACTATAGCAGCCAAAAAAAAGATTCAGAAAGTACAATCCGAATCCAAAATAGCGAGAGTCCTACTAAGATCCTAGTAAATTGTTATTTGTCTGCATCGTTTTGGATGTTTCCATACTTGTTCACACTGACCCGTTGGCCCAATCTGTCGCTTTCACCGTTCGCCCACCTCCATGGGAGTCGTATCTTCTCCGGTTTCGTCAGAACTGCGTGGTCAAAGATTGCCACAAAAGATGGGATTAATATGGATTATATAATGTGGATAAGATCCAATATGGTTAATATGGTTAATATGGATTAATATGGATTAATATGGATTAATATGGATTAATATGGATTAATATGGATTAATATGGATTAATATGGATTAATATTGATCAATTAATGGATTAATGGGAAAAGAGTGGGATTTTTCACCATCAACACCAGGGATATTGGATGATATTAGTGACATCCACTTTTGGAATCCATGGGAATCCCCCGTTTCTGGTCATCCAGCGTCGGTGCCATGGTATATTTCAGGCCGGGGATTTTTGTGCAACAATCATGGGATGCTGGGTATAGAATGGGAAGATACTGGCTGGGTATATAACCAACAATATGATATATGGTGATCCATGATTTGCGTTCATCCACCATCATTAGGGATTCCAAACATAATGGGTGTATAAATCTCATTAAATCTCTATGAACGTAGAGTGATGGCCATTTCCCAATCTGGGTTAACCTAATCCGACTTTTGACTATGGCACAGGGGAAGATAACCCAGGAGGTGAAGTATGATGAAACCCATGATCGCATGTCAAACTTATAGAATCGTGTAGACCCCCAAGATTGGATAGGGAATTTCATGTAAGTTCAATACTCAAAATCCGACATAGTATGGAATAGTCAGCAAGAACGGACGATAGTAGTTCCGCCACAACACACCCTTGCCATGGCGCAGAAAATTCCCTGCAAAGGAACAGGGAAAATGACCAGCCATCAGAATGTTGACCACCTTCTGACACCAATTGGATGTCGATTATCCAACTAATATAGATCCGAGAATCAACCATTTTTGGAGGAAAGATGAGGAAAGTAGTCTGAGGAAAAAAAAAACTATTTGGAAGGGGCTATGTACCTTTATGATCCTCCCACTTGGGAAATTGAGAGAGACCATTTTGATTTTAAGTCCTGATTCCGGTTGTTTCAGTCTTTCCGTTCTATGTTCCACAGTTGTCCGGTTGCCAAGTTGGATGATCTTCCCCGCACCCCAACGCTGTAGATTCTCCACCAGCCCGCTATGTGCTGTCACGTGGCTGCCGCGTTCGACAATCCTGCCAGTTACAGTAAGCGGAAGTTTGCGATTGAGCTGCCCTTGAAGATCTTGTCAGTCTTATCATTCCGATATTCCTATGGTCCTAGAACCAATGAGAGATGGATTTACATACTATCTTAGATGGTTTCCCTTTTTCACTCATTTTGAGACCACTGTCCCTTCAAAATCGCCTACATCGGGGGTTGCGCAACACAGTGCCCCAACTAAATTCAGGCAAAGGCATGCCACGCCAAGACTTCGCAGACGTATAGCTGCAAGAGGGGCATAGTCGGTGCATATGTGCCATATTAAAACTATCCCACAATCGGAATTCTTCATATTCCCTATTCGTTAAGGGATTGCTATACTCCAATGTAATATATATATATGCAATATATATATATATATGTGTGTAATATGTATATATATATATATACATACGTGTATATATATATATATGTATTAGGTATAGCCACCATCTTTTGATCATTGCAAACCATGGCTCGTAATGGATGTGGCAGGACGAGCATCCCAAAAGACCGTGACATACCATGACTGGTTGGAGTGAATTGGGATCATCATGCCATTTTACGGATGAAAAATCACAAATGTTCATGAAACCACCAGCCACCTTTACATACCTTGGCCAACCAGATAGTACAGGATCCCATATAGTATATTATACATGTATTTATATATATATATATATGTGTGTGTGTTGATCATACCATATCATGCCCTATAATTATTACAGCTAGCTATGGGAATGACTCATTTACAAATGATTTACTGAACAATGGTGGTTTTCAATAGCAGCCTGTTAAATTCCCAGATGGTTTTAAAAAAAAACATCAAATCAAATCCGATTTAAATCCCCTTTGTTGATGCTTGAACCATCATTGTTTCCCATGAAATCTCCAGTTGTCGCCACGGCCTGCAACAAGGCGGGGGTCAGTTCCGTCGTCAGCTTCTCGCAACCCAACATGTCCTTAGTCTGGACAGTTTCTCTTGCACTTGCCTTCCATGTCCATATGATGTATGCTCCTTATTTTATGTGTAATATATTTATATATCATACATCTGCAGCTGCAATCATCTGCATATATATATACATAATCATATATATATATATACATATACATATACATATATATACATATATACATATAATCGATTATAATCGTGTATATAATATATATATACACATTATATAAGATTGTATACAATACCCATATACAAAAGACACATATGATGTACTTACCTAGATGTGTTCTATTTATTGCGATAGATGTTGACAATGTTACCATGCATGGATGAACAAATCTCATCCATACCCTCCTTATATGTCGCACTCTATTTACTGTACAGCAATCATCTGCATATATATATACATAATCATATATATACATATACATATATATACATATATACATATAATCGATTATAATCGTGTATATAATATATATATACACATTATATAAGATTGTATACAATACCCATATACAAAAGACACATATGATGTACTTACCTAGATGTGTTCTATTTATTGCGATAGATGTTGACAATGTTACCATGCATGGATGAACAAATCTCATCCATACCCTCCTTATATGTCGCACTCTATTTACTGTAAATGAAGGAGATCTCCCAATCACGCCCTCAACTGCACCAGCATGGATTTGACCAGAAAATAGCAATTTGAGTGATTCAATGGCAAATATATGCAAATATGATCCATTCAATTTGATCCCGTGGCAAATATACTTCAGGATCCTTCATTTGCCATTGAATTTGGTATTTGAAGTATCAACTTCGGAGCGTTTGCCCTAGTTTTGAGCTACCAAAGTCATTTTGGGGATCCCAAAATGGAACCGACCCCCAAAATGGGTATGGATCAATACCTATTAATACCATTTTTAGGGGGATGAACATCCATTTACCAGCTATTTTGATGTTCACCAGGGGTACAAGGTTTTGACACACTGCCAAATGGCTCCCAAACGTCCAAGCTGCAAAGACACCCTGCAACAGCTTCCAGTCTCTCTCACGTCGTTTCCTGGGGTCGTAACCAAATGATGATGGTTTTCTGGTGGTAACAAGCAACTCACTTGCAGAAAAAAATGGGTTGCTGGTTGGTGGTTGGGAGGATTATTTCCAATATATAGTAAAATAAAAAATGTTCCAAACCACCAACCAGGTTGTATAGCTTGCTACTTCTTGCTGTTCACAAATACCAAGTTCTGCAAGCTTTGAATCCGCAAAAAAAAAACACTGAAAACAAATTCTAATCATAATCAATGGGTCACCCAAAATCAAACCACAACAAGAATTGACAAAACCCTTGGGTTCCTGAGGATCCCCCAAAAAAATCTGCTGTGCCTCCTATTCCTTAGGATCTCCTTTGCTTTTCGAATTCGGGACACTTTGTCCTTTTTTGGCAATCGGTTTCCCTTCCAACAAGTCTTCTGTAATTTTGGAATTCCTTTTTTTTTGGCAATGGATGTGGTTTTAAAAGAAGTGAATCACCCGAATCTGTTTGGCAAATGAGAGGGTTTTTCACCACTATTTGATGCGTCAAGAGGTGCATCTTCCAACATTGTTCACGTCTTGGACTGAAAAAATGCTACAAGAAGCCACCTGAGAATTGGAGGATGCCGAGTGACACATACCATGAGACGATGCCCGCGAACTGCATGTGCGTCACGTGCGTGTGAGGAAACGTTTCCTTTCCCCAGGCATGAGTCACCTTGGTTGTACGAATACCAATGCTGGATGCTGCTTGTTGGTCAAGGCCCAAAAAGGTCGATGGTACAACAACAAAACAACTCGGACCTCTTGGGCTCTAGTTGTGCATCCATCTTCAAACCGTTCAAACGAATATGGGGTTTACAGGCTGGATTCACCTGGCACAAAACGGCCATTGAGAGCTCATCTTGCAGATGTTTACCCGTCTTCACCCCAAATTTTTCAATGTCTGATTTTTGTTAAAACTCGTTGACCATCGTTGACCTCCCTTTTCTTTCCTGCAGTGTGTGTGTGTTTCCCCTACTTTCTAAACTTGCCCATGGCACCGCATCGTTGATGGCAAAGTCCATTTCAATACCCAGGAGCTTCTCCAACATGCGAGACACGTCTTTCCTGGTTCAACCACAACATACTGGGCGACCGAAATCTTCCAAAAACATAGCCAATGAGTTTCAAGTTTCAACTAGTGTTACCGTCTAATCATTTTTGAAACTGACGTTTGAATACATTTAACATACAGTGGTATTGAACATCTGGTGCTAAGAAGGTTCTTCAAAAAGAAGTCGGTTGAGGTTGTGGCTGTTTGGCTTCCCATCTTGGGAGGCTTCCAACATGTCAAAATGTGTGCTTCTATACTAGGCCCGTTCAAAGCGCCACGTGGTTTCTCTTCTCCGAAGAGTGAGGAGTCCCATCTGTGTCAGGCCGTCCCTGATATCACTCCATTGCCATTTCTGCCAAGGTGCACCAACAGCATGGTTTGACCTCCTACATCATGCTCATGCTCGCAACACAGGGTTTCGATCTGGTCCATCTGCTCCTTTCCCAACCTGTGAAAAGGGCTATACGGCGAGTTACGAGTTTTGGATCATGCCACAGAGACAAAAAAGGGCGGATCCCGCTTTAGGGACCACAAACACACCCAGGTGATCCCAGGTGTGTCATCTTGCTTTGTGGATTGATGTGGATGATGATCGTGATCCCAGTTTTCCCAGTTTTCCCAGTTTTCCTGTCCAATGTTTTACCCAATTTGACCCACATGTATCGCTTCAACAGTTCAACCCCTTTTGTTTCCGATGGTAAGCACCCCTGGTCAATGCCATGAGCAGCAACATCCCCGAGCCTGGCAAGGTGGCATTTCCGACCTGCAGTGATTCATCCCCCCAAAGAGTTGGTTGGTCAAAAAGGATGGGTTGCCAGACATCCCAGAGTTGCCCTCTGGTAATTTAACATAGCTATTGAATGGCCATTTATAGTGGATTTTCCCATTGAAAATGGTGATTTTCAATAGCTATGTTAAATTACCAGAGGGTGATTCAAGTTGATCCAGGCCACCAAGTTCCAAAAACTCCTCCAGGGAAAGATCCTTCCCGCAGACTTCGTCTGCCAGGATATGGAAAATTCCCACCTCAGCCAGCTGACGCAGGGCCGTTAAACGGCGCCGGTGTGACCCTGGAGTTTTGACACACAGATGTTTCCTCTGCGGTTGCTGGTTTCAACAAACCCAAAATAAGGAGATCCAGTGTGTCAAATAAAGAGAGTATGGGAGTAATTAAGCCACACAAATGGGGATGTAAAGCAGAAACCATCGGTCGGATGAGGCCGCACCAACTGGGCCTGGTGACATGGTGGGACATGGCAACAACCATTGACTTGGCTTCCGGCGAAAAAAAAACAACAACAAACCGAACTAGGACATTTAGCAACAAACTCATGAAACACAAGTTATATAGTTGGGTCATGTTCCATTTGGTTGCGACAGTTATCCCCTTTTGACAGGTCATCCTTCTTGTTCCCTGTTTTCCTTGGGGGCCTCTCGCCAACGTTGCTGCTTCGAAAGGTCAGGGAGGTCAAGTTGGAAAGGGTCAAACGTATGCCAAAAACATCGACCTCTAGATGTCAGCGCTGACCATATCTTGAATAAATATGAAAAAAATTCACAAGCCATCATTTGTGAGGTCAGCCATTGAGGTAGACCCAACTTCAACACCCTTTGTCCTAGGCACATAAAGCAGCCCTTCAATGACACGTGCACGAGGCAACACGGGCACTGCCTAGAGCTGAGGCATCATTGGAGAAATTTGGACGATTCTTGGAGGGTTTCCTTACCATATGACACTTGGACTTGAAAAGTATGTAATTGTTGTTTATGCATTATCCATACACATGCATTGACATTTTCCGGGTGTCCTTTTGGTAAGCGGCATCTTGTTTTTTTTAGACCAGACTAGAGGCTGTTTGATGGTGACAGAAGATAACAGACTAGTGATCCAGATTCAAACATTTCAAACTCACCAAGACATCTGGGGATATGAGTATTCGCTGTGCATCCCTAGAATTCCCTGCACTGCGAAAGGTCTATGAATACCAGGCTTAGCTGATGGCGAGAAAACCTTCACTTGTGCCAGGTTGAAATTCACCCCAAAAAGAAGACAACATGCGCAAATCTCCGAGTCAAGTTTCCTAGGCCAATCAGCTGGCAAAGTTTAGCACCATCCCATTCTTGCACTAAAAATTTTCAGTTGGTTCACCATGGTCAAGCTCTGGTTTTGGCTGGCTAAACCAAACTAAATCCCAGGGATGCCCCAAAATCCAGTGCAAAAGATCCGCATTTTTCGGAAGACAAATTCCAACAGTTACAGTATAGTAATCTCCGCATAGTCCCAATAATATCCTTATTATATCGAGTCATATACATACTATATACCCATGATATATCCATATTCTGTCTCCACTATGTATAATCCCTTAGCCCTAATACTAAACACCCCCAATAATATCCTTGGTTTAGTAGGGGACCATTTATATATATATATACACGTATATATATATATATATACACGTGTATGTATGTATGTATGTATGTATGTATGTGTGTATGTATGTATGTATGTATGTATGCATGCATGCATGTATGTATGTATGTACGTACATATGTATGTATGTAATGGTATGTAATGGTATGTTATGTAATGTTCTGCGATGTTATGCAATGTTATGCAATGTTATGCAATGTTATGCAATGTTATGCAATGTCATGTAATGTCATGTAATGTCATGTAATGTCATGTAATGTCATGTAATGTCATGCAATGTCATGTAATGTCATGTAATGTCATGTAATGTCATGTAATGTCATGTAATGTCATGTAATGTCATGTAATGTCATGTAATGTCATGTAATGTCATGTAATGTCATGTAATGTCATGTAATGTCATGTACTGTCATGTACTGTCATGTAATGTCATGTCATGTCATGTCATGTAATGTCATGTAATGTCATGTAATGTCATGTAATGTCATGTAATGTCATGTAATGTCATGTAATGTCATGTAATGTCATGTAATGTCATGTAATGTATGTATGTATGTAGGTACGTGTGTACGCGTGTACGCGTGTACGCGTGTACGTGTGTACGTAGGTAGGTAGGTAGGTAAGGTAAGGTAAGGTAAGGTAAGGTAAGGTAAGGTAGGTAGGTAGGTAGGTAGGTTAGGTTAGGTTAGGTTAGGTTAGGTTAGGTTAGGTTAGGTTAGGTTAGGTTAGGTTAGGTAGGTAGGTAGGTAGGTATGTATGTCTGTGTGTGTGCGTGTATGTATGTATGTATGTAGGTAGGTAGGTAGGTATGTCTGTGTGTGTATGTGTGTATGTATGTATGTAGGTAGGTAGGTAGGTATGTAGGTATGTATGTATGTATATATGTATATACACCACCGCAGGGGCATCATACCCCCCCCATCCCATGGGGGGGGGGGGGGGGGGGGGGGTTGGAAACACGGGACACGGGACCATATATATATATCCTAAAGTGTATATATATATATAGATGTATATACCTGCATATATATATATATATGTATATATATATATATACATATGTATATACATATATTTATATATATTTACATATCAACCATTAAATATTAATCAACCATTATAAACTATTATATCTTGACCATTATATATATATAGCATCTGTGCGGTACATATAATATATATATACTATATACTATATACTATATACTATATACTATATACTATATACTATATACTATATACTATATACTATATACTATATACTATATACTATTTACTATCTACTATGTACTATATACTATATACTATATACTATATACTATACAAACATGATTATCAACATGTTATATCATGTCTCAACCATTACATATCATCCATTATATATTATATATATATTCTATCATATTTCTTCGACGTTTCGGAGCTGTTTTTCCTTCAAATTGCCAGGTCGTTTTCATCCTGGGCTTGCCCAAGACCTCGTCCTCCTATGCTCACATGGTCAGCTGCTCTGGGTGGCTAATCATGGCTAATCCTTGGCAGCCTCAGATTGGCCATGATCCTATAGAAACGTATATAAACATGTCAACACGTACACATACATTACATTACATTACATCACATCACATAACATTACATACAATATCGCATAGTTATATACAAAGAACTATAGACATTATTACATTTATATACAAAGTTTAACGTACATGCATAAACATCCCGCCGGGTTGGAAATGGGCCGAGTAAAAACAGCATCTTCATGTGACTGGCAAGAAGTCAATCATGCGTTTCGCAGTGTTTTTTATGTTGTCCATGAAGGTCAATTCTATTGTGATTTTGAATTTTCATTGGGATTTACTGTATATAGTTGACATGTCGGAGTGCGAAAAAGGTTCCTTTTGGGAAGTCAGCGTGCCCAAAACCTCAGCGGCAGCCATTTTTTCCGGTGATTTCTACATCTTCGCTAAGTACGCACCTGTTTTCTCCAACAGGGCTTTTCCAACTACATTTGCCTCCCATCGCCACTGCCATGTGCGAACGTACGTCCAAATGAGGTCATTCAATTTTTGTTCGTTTTCTGGGCAAGATGTCAACTGATCGGGAACACTGGCTTTGATCATACGCCAGCACGAGTCGATGGTGCCAGTATGAACCCAGAAGGTTTTTTCCAGCATGTTCTGCGGATCTTTTTGACAAATTGGTTTTTGCGATGGGAGTGCGCAAGTACGTGAACGTTATTACCCCACCCCACCCCACCCCTGCGTGACGTGACAAATCTTCAACGTAGCATGACGTATGTGCGCACGTGCAAGTGAACGTGCCGTGGCGTAACATCATGGGAGTGCGCAAGTACGTGAACGTTATTACCCCACCCCACCCCACCCCTGCGTGACGTGACACATCTTCAACGTAGCATGACGTATGTGCGCACGTGCAAGTGAACGTGCCGTGGCGTAACATCATGGGAGTGCGCAAGTACGTGAACGTTATTGCCCACCCCACCCCACCCCACCCCACCCCTGCGTGACGTGACACATCTTTAACGTAGCATGACGTATGTGCGCACGTGCAAGTGAACGTGCCGTGGCGTAACATCATGGGAGTGCGCAAGTACGTGAACGTTATTGCCCCACCCCAGCCCACCCCACCCCACCCCAAGGAACATATTAAAAAAATGCCTAAAACGCTCGGACGGTTTCCAACCCGTAGGCATAAACATATATCAACATATGTAAACAGTGGTTGTTTCCGGGGATCATGTTGCAGTAACAACAAGTTTGGCAAGTTCTTTGCGAGATTCCGTCCTCCAAATCACCTATGAAGCGCCCGATTCTGGAGCCTAGCGATCCCATCTGTGCCTAGCAATGATATAAATTGTGGTTCCGCAACGGTGTTCAAAGGGATTGAAGGCTCATTTTGGTTGGTTATAAATTTGTTGAATCACACATGTGGTTGTTTAACACATGAAATCCCCAGTTTGAACTGCCATTTTCAGCGACCTGTTTCGGCAACCGACCGCACTCAAGGGAGTTTTTGTTTGGCGGTCGCAAAGCCCGACTGCTGCAGGGCCTGTAGTAGCATGGTTAATAATGGTGGTTAATAATGGTGGTTTCCTATGGTAAATAATGGTTAATGATAATCAATAATTGTCAATATTATTGCTAGTTGGTGGTTTCAAACATGGTTGTTTACTGGTAGAATGTGAGAAAGGAGCTAAACACAAGCCATCGATCATCAAACCATCAGTCATCCTCAATCATTGGGAATATCAAGCCCAAAAACTTGGAGATATCAGCCATCGCTGGTCATCAATCATTGGACTTAACAAGCCAGACTTGAGACTGTGTGGATATTCACCAGTCAGTTTCAGATGGACATCGGCATTGGAGTCGCAAGTACTCTAGAAAGGTGCCAGCACACTGCAGGCTCGAAGTATTTGTCTTAAAAAGACCAGTTTCTTAATATGTATACAAATGTATGTGTATATATATATATACATATCTATCAATAAATGTAACTACATATCTGTAAGTACATGAAAACACATATATACATGTGTTGGACCAAGGTGTCAAATTCTTTGTACAGCGGGCTGCACCGGTCATGGAGCCGTTAAGGGAGCCATGGCAGCGTGCCCAGTGATCACTGGGGTGCTGCGCAATGGGTTCGGGGGACCTAGTCGTCCGTTACAGGCCGCAATGGGATCATCGAAAGGATTAGAAATTAATGTCAGCCCCGGATAAATTAAAACCATGGTTTATTAATTAGGGAGGTACTCCTCCAATAGTCATTTCATTTGATATTTAAATGGTAGCTTCCCAATTAAACAGCCGTTTGGGGTTTATTAATCCAGGGTTGACATTATAGTAGGAAACCATCAATAGATAGGAACACTATTGGAATATCATGAATATATGAGAACCTCATGGGAAATTATCTATAAATAGGAATACAACCAGGAAACATAGGGGATTGATGATGTCAAGAGTATATACTGGGAATATATAGTAGGAAACCATCGATAGATCGGGATATAATGGGAATACCAACTTGACATATGGATCCATAGAATTCGGAATCATACATCTTCGATACTTAGAAATGAAGATGAACTATAGATGTGAATTCTGGGTGTGAGGTTGAACATGGTGAAATGGTTGAACATGGACCAAGAGCTGCATCTGACGTTTAAAAAATGCTTGGAAACTAGAACCAGCCAGTTCAATTTCTCTTTGATTTGAAAAGTTTGATGTTCCAAGATAGTTACGCCCATAATATATACATATACCAGTATGTGCAGTATTTACATGTCTATAATTCTTGTATATACATATATAATGTGTGTTTGCAATATTTGTATAATGATTCTCCATGACTGATTCCACTGATGCTACTGCTACTTTCTCAGACGACAAGAGTTTAGATGGGTTTACTTGGAGGTGCAGTTGGGGGTTTAAACAAATAGGTATAACTATGGCTATGGTACAAAATCTTCACAAGTTGGGATATAATCCCTAGGTTATTTATTATGGTTCCACTGCACCTCCAAGTAGCGTCCCCAAATGTCGAGGCTATAAATGCCCAAATAGCCTATCTTCAAACATACCAAGTGGATGGTGCCGTAGGCCGCCTTTGTTATTGTTTTTCTCGCATCCCAGTTCATAAACCAGTTTCCATATGAGATAAAACCTAGTAAGATGTAGGTCGATCACCATTTTCCTGGCCCAAAAAGGTCGGTTTCATTTTGGGAATGTCAATCCACCAACTTGGCTGATTTGAGCAACATTGAAGTTTGGTTTATGAATATACCCTCTGGTAATTTAATATAGCTATTGAAATGGCCATTTATAGTGGATTTACCCATTAAATGATTTTCCATACGTAGTTAGGTTAGTTTACCGGAGGGTAATTGTTGGGTTTATTGTAGCTATATGTAGATATATCTAGTAAATGGTCGTTAGACGTTCGAAATATGATGCGCCAACAAACATCAGTGGGCTGGGCACCACATCGTAGATTGGGATTTAACTGGCCAGCTGAGTGATAAAGAGATCCCTGTAAGTTGAAGCTGTTATGATAGCCACAAGGGGGTTGGAAGAAATGGTACACTACTTGGTACACGTAAACTTGGCAGTTTGCATCTTTTTTTTCAAGTTCCTAATTTCTTGGATGTTGGGAGCAACCCTGTTTCTTGGGGAAATGGATCTTGTACCACAACACTTGGAGTGGGGGGTATCTTTCTGTACCAATTTGGGGCGAAAAGACCTCGTCTCCTCACCATAGACATCCTTCATGTGAAGCTTGATACATGCTTATTTTCACAACCCTCTGGTCAACAGCCACATAGCTATGGAAAATTACCATATTTATAATAGGTAGATCAACATCAATCACCATTTATAGTGGATTTTCCCATTGAAAATGGTGATTTTCCATCGCTTTTTGTATGTTTACCAGAGGGAAATTCTTACGGGTGCCCCAAAATCCAATGCCTGGGAGCCTGGGAGGTCTCCAAGCCATTGCGAAAAAACACGAAGATCCCATGATATTTTGTATGAGCATTCATATCCCATGTGAAAAAATGCCCATTTAGATGACCTCTATTTCAGTATCTAACACTTCTGACCTCTATTTTAGATGATTCAGTCACAATCTTTATTGGTCACTCTAAGTTTTTTGTGGTTAAACACATCTAGATACCAATGTTTGCGGATTACTCTCCATCTAAAGATGGTTTCCCACACATTCTATGCCCAAGTGCCCAAGTGCTTAGCCTCATCCCGACCATCATGAGGTGCCAAGCCTTGCATTTGCGCCTTGGCTGCCTAGTCGACTGGCCTCACCAGATGTGGTTTAGAATTAATTATATATCATATATCTATATTATATATGTTATATATGTATCGACGTATTTATAGAATTTATACACAGTATGCAGCATGTATATCACGGTATAATAGTATATATTATATATATATATATAATATGTAAATGGGGAGCCACAGTAAAATGACGTTAATTCAGACTGCAATTCAGGCAAAGAGATCAGCAAAAGGCCAACAATTGCCCATGTAATGACTGCGCTTCGCATTTTCCGCCGGCACTGGAAAATCCCAACAGTTTCTATCAGATGATTCTCATATTTGGATATATTTGGATAGAATCCTTAGCTGCCAGTAAATGGTTCAGAAAATCTTTAGTTTCTGTCCATGGTTCAGAAACATGGAGTACATCCTTAGCTGCTCGGTAAAATCCACATGCTCAACCTGGAGTTGAATCATGTTTTTGTTGTGCACGAATCATCTCAAATCCAAGGATTTATGAGGCACAATGATATCCATCGATAGACGATGTTTCTATGATTTTTATATATGTTGTCCTATATTTCATAAATTTAGAAAATGGAAAATCATAGAATAGTTTAAGAAAAACATCAGTTTTCCATGGAATATGTTATACGGTTCTATCAAATTAGACTAGCTGGTTGGTGGTTTGGAACATGGCTTTTTTTTCCGTTGGAAATTTCATCATCCCAACTGACTTTCATATTTTTCAGAGGGGTTGAAACCACCAACCAGATATATTTTATCCCAATATTCTATGGATATTCTAACGAAGTAAAACAATGTCATTTTTATCCATCCCTCGAGTTCACCGTTTTTAGAATTGCTATAAAGATGTAGTCGATATGTTTAGACATAAACCATCTTCAAAACGATGGAATTTTCTCCTTGCGTTGGCAGAGGGCCACCAGTCGGGCAACGCCAGGTGTGCTGCGGGCAGAATTTGACTGTCCGACGAACCGTGGGGGCACTGAGGGCTGCAGCCATGGGAAGATTCACCATGATGAAATCTATAACAGAATATATATATAAAGATATATAATGAAGATATTAATAGTGAATATAGTATAGAATATATGGTTATATACTGGATATATATATATATACTATATAACATATCTGTTTAATTCACCATACTGTATATTTCAATGAAGATATATAGTGGATATCTAAACATATATCTAAACAGATATGTTTTTGGATATGATTTTGGTTATTATGGGAAAATAATGTCAATGATTTGAACTTAACATTATTATACATGATAAAGGATTTTATATCAGCATTCCTATATTATCAGCATGTTAATGATAAATTCATACTCCACGATCTCTAAACATGATTCTTACACGGATTCATACACAGTATATTATAGGATGGCACAGAAAATTGTCTTTCATACGATGTATTTAACTGATCATGACATGTGAAAGACATGCTCTTGCATTATTTAATATAGTATGTGTCAAGATGCTTCATTTATTTCGAGGACTGTAAACATGGTTGATGAGTGACTACAGCTGTGGATTTTTTCGACTCTTGGGTCCACTCGTAAAGGAAGCCATGGTTCCATGGTTGCAAGTTGCCAGGCAGGTTATCTATCTATATCTATATGTACATACATATATATATATATATACACATACATATATATATATACGTATGTATATACACATATGTATATACATATACATATATATATATATATATATATATATACACATGCACATGCATATCTATATGTGCATCTAGTGTTATCATATACAGTTCTGTTGAATATCCGGAAAGATACTCTTGCATCCAACCCGAGGATTGTATGTTTTTTTGTTTCTTGAATATTCACTTGACCTACCTGTACCCATGAATTGGTGATTAGAGCATGTGTATTGTTGGAGATGTCCTCATGGTGGTTCAAAAGCACACCATTATGTATTGCTTACATACATATTCTGGTTGGCTAAATCCGCTGTGGTCTTGGTATAAGAACATTTTTCTTGCTGGTGAAGTCACCTTTTGTGCTGTTGAAGTCTCTTTTCTTGTTGGTTAACCAGTGGCTAAGTGACCGATGATACCAGACGATTTCCCCGTTTCGCTCCATCTTTGCTGTTATGCAATGCCCATGGTCGCTGATAAAATCAGGTAAATCCACCAAGTTCATGCAAGTTCCACATTTGTTGTTGAACATGTTCACATAAAGAAAAGAAGACACACTAAACTCCTATAGAGTATTGTGTTCCTCAACAATTTCAGTAATGTGGTAAACCCAGTCACAAACCATTCCTGAAAACACCACATAAGGGTGGTAATTATCATTCCCAAATGGTAGGTTTATGACGTTGGCTTCCCACATTAATCATCTAACATGGTTTGTTCGGTGATTTCTCACTGCCATAAGATTGATTACCAGATGGTCAATTCCACTAAATCACCTAACAAGAATGCCATTAAATCCCTATAAAATCCCTTTAACATCCCATGAAATCTCTATAGAATCCTATTAAATCCCATTAAATCCCATCAAAAATCGATTAAAATCCCAATAAACCCCATTAAATCCCATTAAACTCCCATAAAATCCATAGAGAAAGAAACGAAAACACATCATTTTTTCCACATCGTCACTCGTCCTCAGGGGATCGCTGGAGCTGTTGCGGGTCTGATGCCTTTTACAGGCCACCCTGGGACCCCCCAAGAAATGGACCCGGTGGATGGTTTTTTTCAAAAAACGGTGGAGCAGTGCTAAAGCCTGGTTGGTTGATGATTAGTTGGGGGTTATAGTGATGGTTATAATTATGATTAGTGATTATAGTGATTATAATGATTAGTTGATGATTATAATGATTATAATGATCCAAAAAGGGGATTATACTACCCAATACATTGGGATTATAGTGATTATAAATTATTATAATGATCCAAGAACGGGGACTCCCCATTCACCAACCAGTATAATGGAATGACAGAGGGATTTTGAACAATGCTCACCTGAAATTTGCGACTCTACCTGGGTCTTGGATTCAGTTGGGAGGATCTCGTGATGAAGTTGGATTAAGTTGAACTTAATCTTCTAAGTTGGGAGGATGTTGCCTGTTCATCATATTTCTGGAGAAGCCGAGAACGGCGTTATTTGGGATGCAGACACTCCGATGACAGCCGACAGCGACGGGACACGTTGCATCACCTGGTGTCCGGTAGATACAGTTGATTGTCCTCAAATTACCCTCTGGTAAACAGCCACATAGCGAACTGGAAAACCACATAAAACCACCATTTTTAATAGGTAAATCAACTATTTCTATGGCCATTTTCAATAGCAAACTGTTAAATTACCGGAGGGTACAGAACCTGGGACGAACATGGTTTCGAACCACAGCTACATTAGCACCCAAAAAGTCCCATGGTGTCATCATCATATCCAATGATGACTGTGGTAAACCCAATTAAACCCCATCCATCCCCTATATATAGAGGTTTGTTACTGTTATTGGGATACCCCTGGTAATGGGATGATTGTTGTAAAATGACCCACAAATAGTTCATGAATGAGATTGTTTATGGCATCGGTTTTACCACATGAATGGGATTATAAACCACTACTATCAACGGGGTTATTATTGTTGATCGTATAAATCATCATAATCTCATCTATATGTGACATTATATGACTATCATTGTGATAATAATTAATCATTAGTATCCCATTATCATATTATTCCCAATCATGATTATCCCATTAGTAGTGATTACTCTGCTTTAATGATTTTCCCATTCATAGTAGTATTACTGTCCATTTATTATAGCATGATGCTAGTATCAATAGTCTGCATTTTATCTCCTCTGATAGCATACATCCTTTCAATAGTAATATTTAAATGGATTTATCACTGGATATGTAATATTTACATATTCTATGTAAATCTCTTTTTTTAATCTAAATCCCATTATCATATTGTTCCTAATTAATCACCATTGGGGGATTTAAATCATCCTAATATTGTTCCTAATCAACATATCCTAATCATAATTAACCATATTCATCCTTTCAATAGTAGTATCTTTCCAATCCATAGCATTTTAACCTGCATTTTTGGGAAAGGATGGTTCAACCCTCCTTTCCCACCGGTGGTTTTCGTAATCCCGTCGTGTCAGGGATGAGTTTCTGGAGGAGGAAGCCTTCGCACCCAAGGCCGGCCCCGGGCCGGCGGGCCGGGATCTCCCCAAAAAAGCCGCAGAACTTCCATGGCTCGTGACTCGTGAAATGTCTATGGAGGAAGTCGCATATGTACACACATACATACATGCATATATATATATATACATAGTGGTATCATATATTGGTATCATATATATATATACACACATTTATTATATATAGGTAACATATGTGGTTGCATTTACATTTATTTACAGGATATATATATATATATACATGGTAATGGTAATGGCAACAGTGATGTAAGGAGATATTATGTAATGCAAGATAAGGTAAGGTAATGCAAGAGAAGGTAAATTACTGTACGTATGGTATGATATGCATGTATTCTACTGTATTGTTCTGTAATGTAGGTAAAACAATATATTAATGTCATGTCATGTGATTTTCGTATATATATATATATGGCATCTTATGTTATGTAAGGTTATGCATGTATTGATTTTCATAATGTAATGCAATGCAATGCTATGTGAGCTCCGCGTAAGTGCAAATTCAACAAAATCCTTCGCGTAAGCCAAAACTGTGGTGGCGTAAGCAAGGCGCAAGCGGACGCGTAAGCATATCCTTATCGCCTTCAGAAGAACAGGACCTTTTGGACACAGCTCATGTGATGTAATGTCAAGTCGTTCATGGTATGTAGTGTAATGCAATGTATTAAATGTAACGTACTGTAGCGTAATGCAATGGAAAGTAATGTTATTGCAATGTTTTTGTAATGTAATGTAATGTAATGTAATGTAAAATCATGTAGTGTAACTGAGTGCAACGTTACGTTGCGTCACGTCATGACAGTTGTGTGTATATATATATATATTCACGTATAATATGCGTATTTATTAACGATTGGCATCTAGCGTTTGCTCAAGAGTCCCAAGAGCTATTCGACCCAGGCAAGTCGTGGTAAGACCAACCCCAAATTGGAGTATATCAGGATTGGGAAATGTCACAGTCACAGATAGGTCAGATGGGTAATTGTTGGAAAGGTCAGCGTGTCCATGAGAAGGTTTCCTATGGTGGATGGGTTGAATTCGGTACGTATTTATAGTATAATATATGATATATGTATATTATATTATATCACATTATTATACTTTACTATACTATATTGTATTATAGATAGTCAAAGCTTTCGTAAATTTTCCATGTTGGGAGATGGTCATGAATTTCTATACCCATTGAACAAAATCCTACTATGGGATGGATGACCATACCCCGCCTACCATGTTTCGATGTTTTCGACCATGGTATGTATATACAAAAAATAGAGAAATGTTGGCATTCTGTTGGCGTTGAAATCCGTGCAATCTTTTCATGTATCTGCCAATCAAGTCCCTGACTCGCCGCATTCAACAAGTGGTTGTCCTAATTCAGTGTAATCATACAGGAACATTCCCATGGAAGGCGTTCCTCTAAAGAATGTACATGTTCCATCGCCAAATGTCTTTGCACAACCTGGTACTGGATAACGATGCTTCCTCCCCGATGATGGATTGATGGAACTTGCAAAATTCCATAAACACATGAGGTGCATTTTCCCACATTATGTGTTTGTCTGAAAATAAGCAGACCCCATGATTTGATGCTTTAGTGGTTTTCAATAGCTATGTTAGTTAAATAATATTAACTATAGCATTTTGCCATTTATCCCTCATTTTCGGTGAAATAATGCCATGAATCCCCCAACACTGGCCCAACCGTCCAAAAAACGCAGCGGCCTCGCATCAGGCGAGCCTGACAGGCCTGGTCTGTGAACAAGCAAGGCTGAAGTCGATGAAAGGCGGGAACCCGGGAACAAAACGTTTCGATGGGCTGGGGGATAACCATAGTGATACTTACTGGTGCGTTTTACGTAGGGAATGGATGGGTTGCTGGGGGTTGCTGGGATGATTATTGATTATGGATCATTCCCGAAGATTCCCTGCGTTTAGCACCAGTAAGGATATTCGTGTGGATTTTTGCTAGCCAAGAAGCTAGCCTTACTTACTAGCAGCTAACCTAAACCAACATTGTTTGAAAAACGCAGTTGATGCACACATCGAACATTGTTTTGGTTGTATCCCAGTAGATCCTCACTATCCAGTGGTGAACGGAGCGATTCGGAGCTGGGGGTATCTATCTATACCTGGATATTCATTGGTTACAAATTTCTGTCCAGGGCAGATTTTGGTTTGATTTCCGTCCATTTTTAAAGATTTGTCCATTTCAAAAAAACAATGACCATTGCAAAAAAAAAAACTGACTCTGACCACTTCATGTTTTCATGTTTCAATCATGTTGAGTCTGCCCGGGTATAAAACCGCCCTGTTCCCGGGGATAAAACCGCCCTTTTCCCGGGAGATCTTCTGCCCAGAAAAAAATACGATCGGCCAAAAAGGTGCGAAAAATGACCATTTCCAGGTCCTTCACAAGAAATCCGCCCCATTTCGGGCAGAAATCTTGCAGCAATTATTTGTGTCCTTTCGAAGATCCAGGTATTCCTTATGACTCGAATTGATGGGGGTGCCGGAGCTAGGAATTGAGTTTCCCGAGCACATGATAGTTGTTTTTCCCCTTACAAAATACCCCTAATGAAAACTTGGTTTGATATTGAATCTAGCAATTTTCGGGCGCCAGAAAATGGGAATTCAATATAATTCAATACCTTTTCTCCATGTTTTCCACAACTTCCAGGACTTGTCTTCTTGGACTACACCAAGTTTTCGGCCGCGCAGGCCGCAACAGTGGGGCGACCCAGCCACAGGCAGTTGATACTTGGGGTTTGACAATGGCTCTCCAAAGTCACTGCTATAAAAAGTGATGATAATGAGTATATATATATTATAATATAATTTAATATAAATATAAAATGTAATATAATATAATATAAATATAATATAATATCACATAATATAATATTGTATAAATAAAAAATAATATAACAAAATATAACATAATATATTAAAATATAATATAATATAATATAATATAATTTAATATGTTATATAATATAATATAATATGATATAATATAATATAATATGTTATATATAATTGACGGGATATAGGGTTCTCACTAGTTGCTACGCCAACCTTTGGCTCAAGAACACCGCTGCTAAAATAGCGAGTTGCATATTCTCCGTTCATGGTAGCGGAGCGATACGCTCCAGGGTCTTAGCAATGGACCAACAACAAGCGGCACAGGTCCTCCAGTCGCTCCAGGAACTACAGACCGAGGTCAATCGACTAAGAGGCCGAGAAGCTGAACTGACAGCACAGGTCGCTTCTTTTGGTGCCGGTTCGGCTGCTTCAGCTGGACCTGGCAGTGCACTGGCACAGTTGGTGCAGTCACAAAAGGAGCTTGTGGACGCCCTTAGATCGAAAGAACAAGTCCGGTTGGTCGACAACAAGGGCCTTGGCAAGCCCGACAAGTTTGATGGGACAGCCGAAAGATTCTTGTCATGGAAAATCAAGACGTCCTCCTATCTTGCAAGTGTTCGCAAAGACCTTCGTGAGATTCTGGTTTGGGCCGAAGATTGCGATCATGCAATCACTGCAGATGACATCGACAAGGCTTTTGGGAGTCAAGCAGATGCCATTGACCAGGTGTCGAACATCAGTGAATTGAGACGCGAGCTTTGGGACGCGCTGCTAATGCTGACAGAGCGTGAGCCCTTTGACATCGTGCTGAACACCGGGGAATGCGGCATCGAAAGCTGGAGAAAGCTCACGCGGAGGTACGACCCATCCACTGGTGGTCGCAAACGCGCTCTCCTCAATGCAATCTTGTCACCGGCTCGATCCAAGATGGAAGATTTGCCGTCCAACCTGGAGAAGCTTCTTGACAGCATCAGACTTTATGAACGTCGCAAAGACGCATCTGGCAACCGAACGATGTTGGCAGAAGACATCAAGATCAACGTGATTGAACGATTGGTGCCGGCAGAGCTCGAGCGTCATCTCGTTCTCAATCGAGATCGCTTCAAGACGTTCGAGTCCATGCTGTCCGAGATCCAGTCCTATGTGGAACATGCCACCGGCAACAAGATCAAGGTGGTGAATAGCCAGCCCTACGACGCACATGGCCGTGGGGACGATCCTATGGATGTCGGAAGCTTTGGAAAAGATGCGAAGGGAAAAGGTAAGGGCAAGAAGGGAGCTGGAGGAAAACCTGGAAAGGGAAATGCAACAGCTGAGAAGAGAACATGTCACAACTGCGGACGCCCAGGACATCTGCGGGCAGATTGCTGGGCACCTGGAGGCCCCAAACATAAGGGGACGGGTGGCAAAGGCAACAGCAATCAGAATAAGGACAAGGGCAAGGGCAAAGGCAGCCCCGGAAAGCACAAGCAGAAGCCCAAAGGAGGCAAATCTGTGAACAACGTCGAACAAGGTGAACCAGAAGCAGAAGACTGGGACGCAGCTGATGGCGACGATGGTCAACAAGCAGCAAATGGTTTAACGCTCTATGGTGTTGATGGGCCACCACATGACGAGGATGACGACGAAAGTTTCCAGGTCGATCCCGAGTCCGAGGAGTCGGAAGCCTCGACAAGTCGCAGAAGGTGGTTTTCTTTGCCTCACCCACGTGCATCATGGCCTGAAGAGTGGGACGACCCCGACTATGATGGACCGAGTGGATCGAGTGGCTCAAGACCCCTTCGGTCGCTTCGACTGGAGGAGGTCACCGAGCACGAGACCACTACATCCAAGTCCGCGTCTTCCAAGGCACCTCGAACGCCACAGGGAAGACCCAAGAGGGGCAGAAGTCCAAAGAGCTCAGCACCAAAGAGAGGCAAAGCAAGCAGATCAGGGCCAGTCACTCCGGAGTCAGCACTCCGACGCTTTCGAATGACTTCGATGACACCACCACCAAGGAGAAGGTTGAGGCATGGGCCACAGACTCCAGAAGAACTTCTTCGTAGCTCTACACCTTTGCCAAAGACACCACCGACACCTATAGCATGGCCTGCATCACCTCCACAACAGCCGATAGCCTCGCCCAAGACTCCACCAGGACCACCACCAGGATGGCAAAGCCAAGTAGCTTCACCCAAGACTCCGCCATGTCCACCACCGGGATGGCAAAGCTCTCAGGTGAAGCCACCACCACCTGTCAAGGCATCATCGGCAGCTTCGACTTCAGGTTCTCGACTTGTCCAGATGCTGAAGGCTGCGCTGAGTTCACAAATCCGCAAAGTCCAAGAAGAAGATCCTGGTTCAGGAGATGGCCAGGCAGATGCGATGTTAGCGGCTTTGAGGACTAGATCTGTCAAGGCACCGCACATCACAAAGCAGAACATCAGCGATCCTTCTTTCCACGACTCGAGATACCATGCCGAGATTGCCAAAGGTGTTGCACACAATGTGGCCTGGAGAAATGAACGTTTGAGAAGACGTGCAATCGTCCACCGACGAGGAGGAGTCAAGGCACGTGCGGCTGAAAGGATTCGACTTGACAAAGAATGGCATGAACGCTTTGACAACCCAGAAAATCCAGAAGGCATAGTGAGAATCGAGGATGAAGACAACTTGGATGCGGGCATCGAGACGGTGGTTGTGGGCAAAGCTGGTCAGAGCACAGTGATAGAGTTTTCAATGGAAGAGCGGAAAACTTTGAGGCAGTTCCCGGACGACGAGGCCAAGTTGCTGCGGAAGGATCCCAAGAAGAAACCCATGACCAAGCGTGTTCGAAGCGTTGGGTACAGGGTGAAGAAGAATCGCAACCGCAATGTGGCGCGCAAGATGGCGAGGAAGAACCGACCAGCCTTGGTTCTGAAGGAAAACACTGAAGTGAACGCAGATGAAGATGATGATGAAATGGAAGAGGTCTACATCGAAGAGCCTGATGAGCCTCGAGACCGACCAGGCAGAGGAGACCCCGATGGTGGAGCTGGATCGGCTCCTGCTGCAGTCTACAGCTTGGGGGCCTCTGACGACTGGCGAAAATGGGAACGAGCAGAGTTGAACATCGACACCGGTGCTGCCATCACTGCAGTACCACTTGACTTCGCCAAGGACTACCCGAGGAGCGAGTCCAATGGAGCAAGCTACAAGGCAGCCAATGCGGAACCCATCGAAGATCAGGGAAGTGTGAAGCTGGTGGGATACGACGAATCTGGCAACAAGATCCCAATCGATTGCCGAGTTGCAGATGTGCATCGGCCACTTCTTTCAGGTTCCGAGATCGCCAAGAACTACCACATCGCCCTTGGACCATCTTCGGGGAGATTGATCCCAAGAAACACTCCTGCGGGACGGGCCTATTCGAAGGCCATGAAAGATCTGATCCGAGATTATGGCGATTCAATGCCCATTGTGCACAATCGCCGAGGCATCTATGTGTTGGACTATTGGGTGTCACCTTTTCAGGGGCATCCTCAAGAGGAGTAAGACCACAAATCAACGCTGTTGGCGAGGATCCAGCTGTTTCAGCCGGAGCCGATGCCATGGAAGATGGAGGCGATGTTTCAGCCGCTTCGGCCGGAGCAGGGTCCTCAGGCGATGTTCCAGCTGCTTCAGCCGGAGCAGATGCCTTTGAAGATGAAGTTGATTTGGAAATCGGTGAAGAACAGAGGAAAGCCATTGTGAAGAAAGAACCACATCAACCATCCCAAGCTGAAGTTGACGAACATGAAAGCACTGGACATGTTGTCCATCGGAGCTGGTGCTTGCACTGCAAAAGGGCACGTGTGACTGCTGATCGCCATGTGCCTAAGGAACTTGATGAGCCAGAAACGCAGTTGCCCACGCTGAGCCTGGACTACTTCTATATGAACCAGGACCAGGTTGCGGATGAGGCGACCCTTCCGAGCATTGTGGTGAAGTGCCACAAGACCAAGAGATTTTGGGCGAGCGTTCTCCCGGGAAAAGGGGCGGATGCGTTCGCAATCGCGTGGCTTGGGGGAGTTTTGGATGATGCTGGTTTTAATAAGGTAATCCTTAAGTCTGACGGTGAACCCTCCTTGGTATCCCTTAAACAGAAGGTTAAGGAGATAAAGACCCACATCGAAGTGCACTTGGTGGAAACCCCAGTAGAAGACCATCAAGCCAATGGGTTTATCGAAGTGGGAGTGCGAGAGATAAAACGACAATGTCGTGCTCTCCTCAGCGACCTGGAGTTCAAGCTGGAAAGGAAGGTAGATCCGGGCCATCCACTTTTGGTTTGGCTCCCGCGGCATGCTGCCTTTCTCTTGACGAGATACCGAGTAGGTACTGATGGAAAGACCGCTTTTGAGCGGACCTATGGACGAAAATGGCGGATTCCGCTTGTGAGGTTCGGTGAAAGCATCCTGTATAGGCCGAGGGCCAATCGTGGGGGCAAGAGAAATGACCTTGCTCCAAGGGTATCCATTGGGATGTACGTTGGAACTGGAAACAGAAATTCAGACGTCTTTGTCATGACGGAACGTGGAATCATGAAGGGGAACTCGATCCATCGACGCCCACCTGACGATCAGTTCAAACATGATCAGTTTGACTCGCTACGTGGCCTTCCTTGGAGGTTGCAAGAACGAGAACATGGTGGACTGAGGATCGCCCTTCCCGATGTTGCAGCGCCTCGTGAAAGGCCTGCAGTGCAAGAAGTGATCCCAAGGAACCTCTATGTCACCAAGAATGACTTGGAAAAGCATGGGCACACACCTTTGTGTCCTGGATGTGAAGCAGCAATACTTGAGATGCCAAGCCGAGCTCACAATGCTGAGTGCAGACAAAGAATCCAGATCGAACTTGACAAGACTCCAGAAGGTCAAGAAAGGATCAAAAGAGCGAGAGAGAGAGTTGCACAAGGCAGGCGCCCAAGAGGCGCGGCTGCACCGCCTGAGGGTGGTGGGGCAGAAGGTGGTGAAGCTACACCACCAGTTGTCCCAGGAGGGGAAGTTGAACAACCAGTCTTGCAAGACCGTGTTCCTTTGGATGCGGAAATGGATGCAAGTGAGGCTGTTGGTGAACCACTGGTCGACACCGATTTTCGTGGAGAACTCAGACAGAGAGAACAAGAAAGAGAAGGAAGCCCAAAGAGGCAGAAACAAGAACAATCCCGAGGAGAGAAAAGGAGTTCACAAGTCGACGTTGAAGATCTTTACAATGAATCTTCAGCTCAGGCTTCAGGGTCAGCCGGACCACCGGCACCGGATGCTTCATCTGGTGTTCCGGAAGGTGCTGCCGCTGCACCAACAAGTCCTGAGACAAACCAGGAGATGCTACATCTGTGTTCCTTGCTCAAAGATGTGATCGCAAAAGGGAAGGTTGCTGAGATCTTCTCTCCACCGCGTGTGGCTGCACAAGCCCAAGTGGTCGGGCTAGCACCTGGCTTCTCGATTGACTTGGAGACAAAGCGTGGTGATGGAACTCACTGGGACTTGAGTAAAGATGAACACATTCGTGATCTGTTTCAACTGCTTGACTATGAGAAACCAGAGTTCCTCGGCGGCTCACCTCCCTGTGGGCCATTCTCGAAGCTGCAAAACATTGTGGATGCGAAGGGCAATGTTTCACCTGAAGTTCGAGCGCAGAGACTAAAAGATGGTCGCAAACATCTGCGCACGGCAGTTTCAGCGTATGAGCATCAAATGAATGCTGGAAGGTACTTCTACCATGAGCACCCTAAAGGGGCCGCTTCGTGGGAAGAGAGAGCTGTGAAGAGACTGAGGGCAGATGAACGGGTGTATGAGGTCACTGGACCAATGTGCCGTTGGGGAATGAAGGCCGCCGATGGCCAAGGTGAAGGGTCAGTGAAGAAAGAAACTACCTGGCTCACGAACTCTCCAATCCTGGCACAGACCCTACAAGGGTGCTGTTCAAACAAAGAAGGCAAAGTTTGGCACCGCCATGTACATCTTGTTGATGGACGAGCCCGAGCTGCCCAGAAATACCCACCAAAGCTTGTCCACGCAATTCTCAAGGCCATTAGGCGCCAACTGGAATGTGATGGAGAACTACACTCACTTTCACATGGCCCAGTACCCGATGCTGGACCTGTGATCAATGAAGAGGAGGAGTTTTGGAAGCAGCTGCCCGACAGCGATGACACCATCGTGGAGCCAGTGCTTGACGCACACTCCGGTGCTGTCTTGGATGTTGACAAGGTCAGAGCTGCTCGACAAGAAGAACTAGCATGGGTACACAAACAGGGTATCTATATCAAAGTTCCACTCACAGAAGCCCAACAGTCTGGAAAACCGGTCATCACCATGAAATGGATTGACAGAAACAAAGGGGATGCAACACACCCCAACTACAGGTCACGTCTGGTCTGTAGAGAGATCAAACGGGCCAGCAATGCTGACTTCATTCCGGACTATGCGTCCTTCAGTTCGATGCCGCCTTTGGAATCGCTGAAATTGCTTCTATCGCTTATGGTGACTTTGAGACGATCCAAGTCTGGCAATGCACTGAAAGTTCGTCTTCTTGACATATCACGCGCTCACTTCTATGGAGAGGCAGAGCGTGATATCTTCGTGCAGTTACCTGAAGGAGATCGACAAGAAGGGTTTTGTGGCAAGCTCGTTAAGAGCATGTATGGAACACGCGATGCATCAGCGATCTGGCAAAGATCATATACAGAACTTCTCATCCGAGCTGGTTTTGCCAAGAATCAAGCTTGGCCATCCTGCTTTTACCATGAAGGTTACGGTGGTATTCGAGTTCTTGTACACGGAGATGACTTCGTGGTGCTTGCTGATGATGCTGGACAGAAATACCTTGAGGACACCTTGAGGTCCAAATATGATCTGCGGGTCGATGGATCGATCGGTCCTGGAGAACGGCATCAGCAGTTCGCAGTGCTCAATCGAATCGTGACCTACAACGAGCAGGAAGGCTCTGTATCCTATGAGGCGGACCCCCGCCACGTTGACCAGATGGTACGAGATCTAGAAATGGAAAACTGTAAGCCAGTCAAGACACCATCTGAGAAAATGTCAGCCACGGAGGCCAACTTGAAGTTGACCACCCCGACCATCACACCGGACCGTGTAAGTTTCTTCCGGTCTCTGGTGATGAGAGCGTCGTATGTGGCACAGGACAGACCTGACATCGCGGAGGCAGTGAAATGCCTATCAAGAAGAATGCATGAGCCCAAAGAATCTGACTTTCAGGATCTGAAACGCTTGGTGAGATTTCTGAAAGGGAAACCACGTGTACTTTTGAAGTTTGGTCGCCAGAAGTTTGCTGACACGATCCACATGTACGTGGACTCCGACTTCGCTGGGTGTCTTCTTACAAGGCGCTCAACAAGTGGACTTGTGGCAACCTTTGGCCGCCACACGGTGAAGGCCTCGAGCACTCTTCAGAGCACGATCAGCTTGAGTTCCGGTGAAGCGGAATACTACTCGATCGTTCGAGGAGTTTCCATCGGAATGTCGCTACAGGAGATCTTGCGAGGATGGGGCCTACAACCAAAACTTAAAGTGCACACAGATTCATCCGCTGCGCTGGGAACATGTAACCGTCAGGGCTTAGGCCGCTCACGGCATGTTCAAACTCGCTTTCTGTGGGTGCAAGAAAAGCTTGCACTACATGAATTCGAACTGGTGAAGATCCCGACAAAGCAGAACGTAGCTGATTTGTGCACCAAAGGTTTACCTGCGAATGAGATGGAAAGACACATGCAAAGCATGGGGTTCGAGTACTCTCATGGTAGAGCCGAAGCTGCAAAGGCTTTGGAATGAGTGTACATCAGCTTAGGAAAATCCTAGCCTCTGTACAGGAGGGGTGACGGGATATAGGGTTCTCACTAGTTGCTACGCCAACCTTTGGCTCAAGAACACCGCTGCTAAAATAGCGAGTTGCATATTCTCCGTTCAATAATATAATATAATATAATAAAATATAATATAGTATAGTATAAATATAATATAGTATAGTATTAGTTTAATTTAATATAATATATAATATAATATCTTATATTATTTAATTTAATCTAATATATAATATGTTGACTTATTTTTTATTATGTTATAATATATTATATTTTTTAATTTTATTATATTATATAACGTTTTATTATATATTCTATATCCTACTATATATCACATTATATATTATATATTATTTATTTTATATTATTTATTTTATATTATATATTAAATATTTTATGTTATATATTAAATATTTTAGATTAAATAAATAATATATCATACATTATTACTATAAATTTTATATTAAAATATATATTATTTATTAAATACTTTTCAATTTATATTATATATTATATTATATATTTTCAAGTTTATATATCATATTATATTATATTATATACATATATATATTTATATTTTTTTTTATGTTATATATCATATATTATTTAATATATATTATATATAAATTAAATATTATAAATTATATATTTTATATTATAGATTAAATATTATATATTATATATTAAATGTTATATATGATATAAAATATTATTTTATATTATATATTTTATATTATATATTATATATTATATTTTTTTATATATTATATATTATATTTTAAAAATATTATATTCTATATTATTTATTATTTATCATATATGATTTATTGTATATCATTTATTATATATTATATATTATATATTATTATATTATATGATATTATGTTATATTGTATTTTAGATCATATATTATATTATATATTATATATTATATTATTTATTATATTTTACATTATGTATATTATATTATATATTATATATATGATTATGATATTCTAAATCATTGGATGGAATGGGGACTGACCTAAATTTTCACACAGCCAGTGCACCCATTACTATATTATACTGTTTTTTTTGGAAACATTTTCTTCGTTCCAACCGGCCCATGACTGAAGGAATGCCAAAGGTTTTGGGTACATAGACCTCATCCTAGCCTGGTCTTTTGTATAACATGAGTGGTGGTGACAGTGTTGACCATGTGTCGGATCAAGGGCAATGTCCACAGGCAATCAAAAACGTTACCAAAATGCGGGTGATCCAGCCCAATCCATAGGTATGGATCACCCCGGAACGACCAATACCCGTTGTTTGAGCCACAGCCAGTACTTCCCGAGAGTGGAAATATCAAAACCAAACCAAAAAAACAACAATTTTGCGACATGGTATGGAAAAAAACACGCCGGAGCGATTTTTACCATTCGGGACAGTTTGGACGTTCAAAAGTGGAAACAAGGGTTCAAAAACCTTCAAAACGCATTCGAAAAGTGTTCGGAAAGTGTTTGAAAGCGTTCGAGAGCGTTCAGGAGTGGAAAAAAATGTTCAGGAGTACAAAACAACCATTCAGGAGTTGTTTTCAAGTGAGAAATGGAGAAATTGAACAATTTCAGCTTTGGTGTTGATATTTTCACTCTCAGGAGGTACCAGGATACATATTTATATCAATTTAATACAGACCTCAATCGACGTCATTATTATGCCAATATTGACACATGTGGCCAGACACCCATCAAGCATGGCCTTCAATCTCCTTCCCAAAATTTATTCACACATACCCATAGGATCCATGGTGCTGGTATATATGCTAACATGACTGGGGTATATTGATGGGATCCATGTTACCATATATAGCAGCACCATGGATCCGTCATGGGATATGATTCAGATGGACTCGAACCTTTCAATTCGGCAATATCACCCATTTGGGGATTATTTTCCCCACAGCTATGGGATTTCCGTTGTCAGGTTGGATACAACGGGAGAGTATTGCCATTGCGAATCAAACCAAAGCACCTTGAACTTTGACTTATTTACAGTACTGTACCTAAAATCGCTTGTGCAATTTCCAAAGTGATATTATTATCCAGATTATTCCAGATAGACTGGTTCTATTGTCAGCATGAATGGGATGTGTTGTTTTTTTTGGCAAATGGAGCAAACTCCGGAAGCGAACCGCAATTTTCAAGAGGAATATGATCATTATTGTTCCGATGATGTGATAGCAATTAGATAGATTTTGGTATACCCTCTGGTAAACTAACATAGCTATTGAAAATCACCATTTTGAATAGGTAAATCAACTATAAATGGTATATTTTCAATAGCTATGTTAGTTTACCAGAGGGTAGATAGATTTTGGTATAATCACTTCATTTTGGGGAAACCAATGGAAACCATATTGGGTACTTGATTCACCCACCATTTTATTGGATCATAACCATTCATGACTCACAGGCCGTCGGAGTTGAATCGCTCCGAAAATCGACGCGAGTAACCGGCTTTTCACGAGTATGACCAGGGTCACTACGTACTGTATATATCTGGGTAAATGAAATAACGACCTCACTGCGACCTCACTGGAATCATGGTTAGTAAGGGGAATCATCCCCAAATGGCCTTGATTCAGGTTGGTGAAATATTATAATTTACCCAGATATATATATATATAACCATACTTTGGTGCCTAATAATTACATGGGTTAATAGAAATTCCTTTAAACAGAAAGACAGCCCCCTAACACAAAAACAAACAGCCTCATCGTATGGTCCCAGTCATCCGTGTAGATCCCCTACTAAATCATGCTTTCTGGGGGGTGTTCAACATGAACTATGAACGGGGGAAAGAGTTATATATATATATATAAACTATAGTTGGGTTAGGAATTGATTATAGGTTTCAAATTTACTACAGTAGACATTACATAGTATGTATATATAAAAGCTATTGGTTGGATTATGCATGTTAAATCTTTTACGTTGACTACAGTGGAGTAGATTATATGCGAGTAGTTGGTTCTACCCAAATCCCAAGTTATAACCCCAGCGAGGCCTTCAAGCGGCGCTTCTCCAGCGAGATTTTGGAGGAGAACGCCGCAGACATGTCCCAACAAAAAAGCAGGTTCACAACTAAGAATGGAGGATTCAATGGGAGTTATGATTTTCTTGTTCTATCTTTTTTGGGGGTGGTGATATATATATATATACATAAATTACATACATATTGATCTAAGCAAAGATCTATGGCAAGATGGGATAAAAAAACATCAAAAAATGCCATGAAGCAATCAACATGGAGATTTAATCCACATAACATGGGGATGGGACAAGATGACCACTGGGACCATTTTTCATGGTACCTTTCCGGACTAATCCACATAGATTTCCGAATGGAAGCCATGAGTTTCCATATGTATTTGTACCTTGATTTACTGCAGGGTAATCATCAAGAAAAGGAACAATAACCGATACACCCCAAAATTGTCATGAAATACTGGGAAGGTGATGATTATATTCCTTGGTAAACCATGTTTGGACAAACCGGGATGGTGGAAGATGATGAAAGATAGGAGATATACTGTTTGGTTAAAATGGGGATGACCAGGGATTCTGAATCATTTTCCGGCATGGGTTGTCTTGAAACGGTGTAGACCCCAAAACGGCCATCGAATAATTGGTCTCGGGGTACACTCTTTTCAGACGGAAGCATCAGGGGCTACACTAGCTGCCTTGAATGGGGATTATGGATAGCTATAGTAATCCAATATGAGAACCTCATGTGGCAAAAATTGGGAAGGTGAAGCAGCAGCAGACAGGGGTATTGACCTTCAAATGGGAGGATATTGGATAACATCCACAAATGATGGTTTGTTGATAGTATGAACTAGGGCCTATGGTGACGTTACTGCAGTACAGTGAATGGACTGAATGTGGCTAGGGGTATACCCAATAATAAACCCCAAATTGGGAATGTTTTCATTCTAACCCTAGAGAATCCAATAAGTTTCCATGATGGTCCCTTATTCATCCCAGGGTTGTCGATCTTATAATTGTTATGATTTCACATAATGTACCATGGTACATTTAAATACATTTAACATAGCTATGGAACATGGCCTATTTCGTTCGATAATTTACCTCTCAAATATATATATATATAATACACATACATATATTCCATAGATATGTTGAATTACCAGAGGGTACATGACCAATTACATCTCAGCATGTTAAACCGGGTTCACTAGTTCAGCAAAAGTTTTTTGAAGAATCATAATCCCAACCAGTAACCATTATCCCCAACTTTTATACGTTAACTGGTTGGTGGTTTTGAACATTTTTTATTCTTCCATATGTTTGGAAGAATCATCCCAACTGACTAATATTTTTCAGAGGGGATGAAACCACCAACCAGTTAACCATTTGTAGAGATGAGTTTCCCAACTATTACAGGATGGGGCCAGGATCATCTGCCGATCCCCACGACTCCCTTGAGCCCGAGCAGTCCCACGAGCTTCTTGGCGTGGAAAATGTGGATTGAATAAGGGGATTATTTAACTGATTTAATCATGAAGAATCGGGATTTTTCATGGGATTTCATGGGGATTTATACTTGATATAATTTATTATAACGGATCTACAGCATTCTAGAGCCAAGTTTTGATGCACAGTTCACTTGGTGAAGGTTTGTTTGGGTTTATGGAGGATACAGCTATACTTAATGGGGGCTCCACCTTTCAATGGCCATTTCAGGTAGCGATTCCTTGGAGCTACCATACATAAGGCCTATATGGGCCTATATCTTCAGGGCTAAAATTTCATGGAATATACCAACAGAATATGGAATTATCTATATGGATTTATATGGTACAGTCTATTTTGGGGTCCTGAAATTCCCCTTGACATTGTGTGTGTAAGAGCTCTGTGTGACAAAGGCATCTGCGTAAGAGTTGTGTGTGACAAAGTTGTGTGTGAAAGAGTGGTGTGTCACAAAGTTGTGTGTGTGATTAAGTGTGACAAACTTGTGTGTAACAAAGTTGTGTGTGTGAGAGAGATTGTGTGACAGAGTTGTGTGTGTGTGTGTAAGAGTTGTGTGTGTGTGTGTGTGACAAGTTGTGTGTGAAAGAATTGTGTGTGTGTGTGTCACAAAGTTGTGTGTGCGATTAAGTTGTGTGTGAAAGCGCGGAGGCGGAGGCGGAGGCGGGTGACGGAATACAGAACCAAAAACAAGAACCCCACACAAAGATGTGAGGAAAAACTCACATTTTTAAGTTACTTGAGGAGCAGTTTGGACTGTGGGGGTATGGACTGTATCTACCTGTTGCCTCGACCACGATTTACCACAACTATAACCCAATCTACACTTTACAGAGCCATATGAAGCCAGACATAGTTTTAAAGGGACTTGAGCAGCTGCCCTGCAGGCGAGAGAGGTTTGTTGCCATTCTAGTCCCAGATAAAGCAGTGTTCTCCGTCTGCGAGATCTGCATGGCATCTGTCTTGCTCTGGCCGCCGCAGCTATATGATAGGACTGAGACAAGCACGTGCTTCGTTTTCGGGATTTGCTGGCGCGGTTGGACATGTCAGCTGTACTACGTGGATAAGAGTAGCTGTTGGCCTTCGCGTTGCAAGGGCGAACATACTTTCGGAGTGGAGCGAATAGGGGCATTGTTTTCCATGTAGCTTAAATCAATGTAGCTGTATCTTGATCGGTCACGTGTGCTTAAACATAATTTATAGATATATATGTGTGTATATTACTTGTTTTTTTAAATATATCGGGAGATCAGGAGATCCGCCAAAAAACATCCAATGCAAAAAACATGGATCTTCAAATGCCAATTTCTTTTAGTTGTGGTTGTTGCGCACTTTTGTTCGAAGTCGACCACAAAAAACAAAAACAACCCGTTTTGTTTTTTAAAACATGGCAGAGCTGGTATCAACATATCTGTACACTAATTTGGTGATTTCGTGATTTTGTGGCTCAGAATGCGTCGATCGAACAAAAACGGCACTGCAACCCAGTGTTGGTTTGACTTGAACAATGCCCTTATACACCCTGCCATTGGATCTGGTTTTCGCAGGTTTGTTTCCAAGAGGTGACGACACAAAACACTTGAAAACGCACTGCCAATCCTGAATTTAACGAAAAATCCGCGACCAATTTTGCATTCAAAACGCTTACAGAAATTCTTGAACGCTAGCAAAAACCATCAAACGGCTACAACTCAAAAAAACCGTCAAACATGCTGTTTCTGATCCTGGAGGGAGGAGACGCACAGAAGCTTTTACCCACACACACACCCACAGGGGCTTTTACACACAGAAGTCTTTACACAAAGGAGCTTTTTACATACAGAAAGTTTTACACAGAGAAGTCTTTACTCTAAGGTGCTTTTGCAGACAAACGTCTAGGAGCTTTTACTCACAGAAGTTTTTACACGAAGAAGTCTTTACACAGAGGGCTTTTTACACACAGACGCGTTTGCACACAGAAGCTTTTACACAGAGAAGCCTTTACACAGAGGAGCGTTTACACACAAAAGCGTTTACACACAGCAAGCTTTTACACACACAGGGGCTTTTACACAGAGAAGCCTTTACACAGAGTAGCTTTTTACACACAGAAGGTTTTACACAAAGAAGTCTTTCCTCTGAGGAGCTTTTTCACACAAACATCTTGGAGCTTTTACACACAAAAGCTGTTACACAAAGAAGTCTTTACACAGAGAGCTTTAACACACAGACGCGTTTGCACAGAAACTTTTACACAGAGAAGCCTTTACACAGAGAGTTTTTACACACGGAAGCTTTTACACACAGAGAAATCTTTACACAGACGTGCTTTCACACAGAGAAGCTTTTACACAAAGAAGTCTTTACACAGATAATCTTTTACACACGGAAACTTTTACACACAAAAGCTTTTACACAGAGAAGTCTTTGCACAGAGGCGCCTTTACCCTTCGCAGGAGTTTTCGGGAACTCACTTGCTCCCCAAAAAATCGTCTATTCCAACAAATATGTTCCAAAAAACCTAAGGAATATATTTCTGAAGCAGGTCCTCATTCAGTAACTTTCACGCCCACATTGCGATGAAATGGAGGGCCGAGTGGTCCGGCGGAGCCGACGATGAGCGTCAGCTCAAAAATAGAAAAGAAGGAGAGGGCAAGAGGGGCAAGAGGGCAAGAGGGGCAAGAGGGCAAGAGGGCAAGAGAGGAGAAGATGTGAAGATGTGAAGATGTGGAGATGAGAAGATGTGAAGATGAGCAGATGTGAAGATGAGAAGATGTGAAGATGAGCAGATGTGAAGATGAGCAGATATGAAGATGTGAAGATGTGAAGATGAGAAGATGTGAAGATGAGAAAATGTGAAGATGAGAAGGTGTGAAGATGAGAAGGTGTGAACATGAGAAGAGGTGAAGACGAGAAGATGTGAAGATGTGAAGATGAGAAGATGTGAAGATGAGCAGATGTGAAGATGAGAAGATGTGAAGATGAGCAGATGTGAAGATGAGCAGATGTGAAGATGTGAAGATGAGAAGATGTGAAGATGAGAAAATTTGAAGATGAGAAGGTGTGAAGATGAGAAGGTGTGAAGATGAGAAGAGGTGAAGACGAGAAGATGTGAAGATGAGCAGCTGTGAAGGTGAGAAGATGTGAAGATGAGAAGATGTGAAGATGAGAATATGTGAAGATGAGAAGATGTGAAGATGAGAAGGTGTGAAGATGAGAAGATGTGAAGATGAGAAGGTGTGAAGATGTGAAGATGAGAAGATGTGAAGATGAGCAGCTGTGAAGATGAGAATATGTGAAGATGAGAAGATGTGAAGATGAGAAGGTGTGAAGATGAGAAGGTGTGAAGATGAGAAGATGAGATGCAGACCCCCACTATTGGAAGAACCCTGCGCTCAGACGCTCTCGGGAAAAAACAAAAAAAAATCGGACGGACCCTAAGAATAAACACCCCGGGGTTGACTAGTTTTTAGTATTAGGGGGGAAAACCCACAAATGGTAGCTTTATTGTTAAATTGTTTTCTAAAGGGGATCAATTAAAAGTCAAATTGGCCAATCTGAAATTTTCTGAAATTGGAGATGGACCCTAGCTTTTAGTATTTGGGGGGCGTTTAGTAATAGGGAGAAGGGATTACCATGTTTCCAAACCCAAAACAACAAAAATACATGTACTCACATATCATGGGTTTTAATCGCCACTGGACCTACATAGTTGGCTGAACCCAGACAACCATGTTTTTGCCGGAAACGACCAAATCGCCTACTTTTTTGGGAAACGCCTAGTTTAGTTCTACGAATCACATAGTCCAGGAATTTCTGGTAGAATTTACGGTCCCACAAAGTCTTGTAATCAAGTGAATACTACATCAGAGGCTGACAGTGACCATGGACCTTCCGCAAATCATGTTTCTCACATATGAATAATAAACAATCCCTCTTTTTCCCAACCTTTTAGTGTACATGATATATATATATATATTTATTTATAATTATATATATATATATATATTTATTTATAATTATATATATATATATTTATTTGCGGTTGTCTAGGTCGTTTACCCAATCATGGAACAACAAGGCAAAATCATTCCCGCATGCAGGTAGCAGTGATCAGTTTTAACCCAATACATTCAATACATGCACAGCCATTCCAGAAACTTATACAGTTTGAGACAAGAACCAATGGAAGTAACCCATTTATATATATATATGCCAACATTTTTTCTTGTCACTGGAATCACCTTCAAAAATTGAAACTACTAGGCCTGGTGCATGTTTGACTGGCAAGCCGACAATGCAAACAAACAGAAAACCTAGAAACAGTGTCAAACAAAAGTAGTACAGGCATAGACCACATATAGACGTCACAACGCATGATTATGTTTTTACCACTACCCTTGCAGAACTGTGAGTTGTTTAGTTTTTTTTTCGATTTTCATTTTCATAAGATATTGGCCATTATGGAAAATATCAAGGGCAAATTCTGTGAATGAATGCGTTGAACAAATAATTGGTTCAGTCAAAATGGAGGTAACTTCTGGCACGGTGCAAACAAATAAAAACTATCCTCAAGGACATGCCCAGTGTATGCACAGTCATGACAAAGAGCAGGTCTACAATGTTTGGTGAAACGGGTTTGGAACAAAAACTAATGATTTGACAGGGACATTTTTGAATTTTGAGGCATGTTTGAATGACAATAAATTAACATGTTATAACGAGGTTTGCCCAAACTATATTTGAAACTGTTTTCTTGATGCATATATGCAAATAAACAACACGCGTAATTAATCATTGCATTTTATCATATTTATCATGTTGCAATGTTTTCTTTGTAAAACTGCAAATTTATATCCCCGTTGCTGACTTAGTGGAAATTACATTTGAAATGACCATGGTGTAGGGCTGCACCGTCAGTAAACACCCCAAGCACCTCAATGAGAGCAAATTGGCCACGCCAATGATGAAGGCATATGATATAACAGTTTGTTCCTCAGGGATGACTATATAGAGAAAACATATTATGTATCTAGATGTGTAGATGCACATTTAAGAGTCTCATTGCTTAGACATTTGAACTGGATAGAGGTGGTCCAATCTCAAAGGGTCCAAACTCTCCTTTTTCGATCGTTAAGGTCCTTACAACCGGACCTTCTCCGACTGGACGCGCTTGTCAGATTGGGTGGGCAAAACGATGAAAGCAACTGATCTGAAAGCTGTGATTTGATGTGAGGCTTTTGAGTCGAGGCTACTGCTTGGAAGACTGGGGGACCCCAAGAAAGCAGCCCCGTAGACTCAGATACTTGTAATATTTTTCAAATCAGTGTCGTGCCAGGGAGGTTTTCCTAAACCCCTTTGAGGCTGCAAGTTTTCCGTAAACCAGGAAAAACGCTGTTCCTCCGCTTGTTTGGTTCGCCAAGGAATGGGAAAAAAAGGGTCTTCCACCAAGATCCGGTGCACACTGGAAAAAAGGTGATGGTGAAGGATTGCAGGAGCGGGTCACCCCAGATGTTGATGATTTCCATGGTGAAAATTCATGGAATCCACCCAGTCTTTGGGGCATGATCATCAATTCATAGGGATTTATATGGAGGTTTCTTAAAATGAGGCACCTCCGGTTTCAATACCACAATTAGACAATTTTAGTATTGAAAGCCATGGTGACTTGGGGATCCACCATTTTAGGACACCTCCACATATTCATTTTTTTCAGGATTTCCAATATCGAATGGATTACCATCAACTTTCCCGCAGCTTTTGAAGAGTTTCCTGCTGTCATCAAAAGATAGGTCCGGTGCGGGCCGGATTATGCCAAGCGACGTCAACATATGATGACAACACCTGGACATTTGCAACCTGACCTGCATATAGCTGCATCAATCTGCATCATGAATATGTCAATCAGGATCCTAAAATGGAGGTACTGTACCATATAAGGCCATATTTTGTGGGGATATCCCCTTACATAGGCCTTATATAGGCCTTATATGGTACTAACGTACCTCCATTTTAGGATCCTGAAATTCCCATTGATGATGTGGCTGGTTTCGTGATTGATGGCTTCCTGGAGTCGTAGGGCCTCCCAAAGGGAAAAAGTTTCGCAGTCGTGATGGCTGCAACGGGCAGAAATCACCATCGGGATTTCACCATGGTTTGAACAAAACCACTGGGAGCATGAGAAAATGAGGATTTTACCAGCAAATATGAGCTATCAGACTCTATCAGCAGGTCAGTTTGTGGCATTTTGGGTCACTTTGGCAAAGTTATGTGTACCAATTGACAGGCATTTGCAGATCATGGGAGAAGTAACGACATCTCGCTGAACCATTTACGGTGAAAACGAAGGTACGCTGACGAAGCATCGCCAAACAATATGTGGTTCACAAGCGAGGTGATACCAATATTCCAAACCATATGGTTTTGTGATGTGTTGCGTTGAAAAGTAGGACAACAAAAAATAGGAGCCTCGAGTCTGTGGCAGGTCCATGTCACCGGGATGATACGACGTCAACCATTTAAGGTCATATTTAAGTACTTTAATTACTCCCAGACTAGGTCACTAGGTTCCAGTTCCACAATAGTTTGTATCCCTGAAGTTTGTGAATACACACCATTTTGTTGCTAAACTGCTAAAGCTCCTTCTTTGCTGCTGTGACACGATTAGATGTGTGCGGCTAAACTCCTAGTTTAGGTCGGTTGATACATTGAATCAACACCTTTTGCTGATAAAATTGATAAATCTCCATGTTTAGTTGTCATTTAACATATTTTAACATCTAAACATGCTTTCGTTCAATGAACGAAGCTGCCACTCGTTGCTCACCATGGTTTGTAAGAGAGCGACAATGGTTTCCCCCTGTGCAAATCGAGGTTTCAAAAGAAAATTATCTATAAATTGTGGATTTTACAATGCCAGGTTTGTTTGCCAGAGGGTATACACATTTATAATCGTTTATAGATGCTTGCTTATAGTTCTACCAGCTATAAACCTCCTTTTATGGAGGCTATCCTACATTGATTACATTGATGGCATGTGTTTTTCCAATTTGGGTCAGCTAGCCTAGAAGTTTCATGAACCGCACGACCAGCAGCTTTTCGCATCAGTGGTGAGGTGTCAGGCTGGAGCCTTAAAGTTTTCTGGTTGTCAAAACATCGGGAATCTTATGTTATCCACCCTAAGATGTTTAGGTATCCAAAAAAGGGACAATTTAAGCTACCATCAAAGTAGTTCATCAAACTTTGTTAGGTTTCAACAAAAAGCAACTTTAGAATGGCCACAAAGTGTGGCAGCCGCTCAGTTTTTGTATGTTTTTGTTGAATTCACAACGGCCAAGGTATCAAACCCTCACGGTTGACTCGGTGAAATCCTCCGTTCCGTTGCACAGCGTTTTGGGTTCCGCTGCGCCTTGGGTTCCGTTGGAAACCGGGAAATTGCTGGGTAACCTTCCAGGTACCTTGGAGATAAGCAACCACTGATTGGTGGTTTGGAACATGGCTTTTATGACTTTCCATTTTCCATATATTGGGAATTTCATCATCCCAACTGACGAACTCATATTTTTCTGAGGGGTTGAAACCACCAATCAGTAATTCTGAGTTGATTATTTGGTTAACCCATCTGACAGGTAACTGCTTCTCGGTGAGGGTTGTAGAAATACATGGGCGGTTTGACCAACTCATGATGATATGCACACATATACATATTCATACATAATCAAACGTACATGTATTAGTATTAATAC